CCTGGAGAGCTGGGATGGGGGGAAGGTGCTCACTGGAGAACCCCAGAAAGTTCTCCAGTGAAGGGTGGGTCGGCTGCAGAAGCCACACCTTCCATTACTCATCCCTGCTGCATCCCTCTCCCTGCAGCCACTCCAACTCCTTCAGGGCTGAAATATTTGCTCTGTTTAAGAAAACGTCCTGAGAACCACAAGATTTTTTTTTTAAATGTGAGTTTCCTCCCATAAACTGTCCTCCTACACAAAATACCGAAATACAGTTTGTCAAAGTATTTGTGAAACAATGGAGAGTTAGAAAAGAAGGGGTTTTTTTCTTCCTGAATGGAACCACCGCCAGCTTTATTAACTTTGACCTTCATGTAACTTTTCATATAAAAAGTAGTGTTGAGCATGTACAAAAAGTAACTCGCACAGCACTTCACAACTTCAAACTAACTGAAGTAGGAGGTATTTTTATTCAGCTGAGCCTATAAACCAGACCCAAGCTCATAAATGTAAATCACTTTAACCAGCCACTTCAGAGAACTTCCAGCCAGATTTTTAATAGCAGTGTGTCACTGGATCATATTTTCACAATCAGATTTAATTCTGAAACAAATGCAGTATTTCAGGAGCACCCACTTTTTCCATCTAAATTGGGAATGCACTTAGAAAAGATATTTCTTTACAAGCCAGATTCGAGTCTCCCAGCCCTGAACTTGGTATTTCAAGTTCAGCCACGGGGCCAAGAAAATGTGGTGCCCTAAGAACAGACCACGCCACGGGGCTGCGTGAGCCAAGGGAGGCAGCTTGTGCTTCAGTCTCTGGGTTTATTACCTGATTATCAAACTTGATGCACCATTAAAAGTCTATCCTAGAGAGCTGATCAGCTGAAAATAACCTGCCAATTAACCACGACATAATTACACCACTCAAATGAGAGCAAAGTCCTCAGAACACAACCAGAATCGAAGTGAGGTGTTTCAGCTGCCAGGAGCTCTGATGGCACTGAGCTGAATTTCAGCTCAGCAGCTTCAGAAAGTCTTGTTAAAAACACAGCTGAAGTCAAAATAAGAATTATCACCTTTAAAAAAACTATTCTTGAGTAGGAAAGCTGGTGCTGAGCACCATGGCCAGCCCAGGAGGCTGACATGGGGCCTCAGGCAGATCCCAGAACAAAAACCTTTGCTGGAGGAGGACAAGCCAGAGGGAATCAATTCTAACAGACATAACTCAGTTGCCAAAACAATTCAGGGTACAGATTCACACCACCCTCACCATTACGACTTCTCCTCTTCATATTTGAAATCAAACTGTGCACTTACAAAGCTACAAGGTGAGCACGTTTCGTGATGTTACCAGTGAAGATAAAACACACACAGAACAACGAGGCTGGGTCTGCTGACAGCTACTCTAAACCTCTTTCTTATGCTTTCACGTCAGGAGGGATTACCACCTGTGCTTGTCTTTGCATTTCAATGCAGGATTTTGTTATTTTATTTTTAAACTCCTCCTGTGATCTCAGGAGATTGCACCAAACCCAGAACTCCACAATTATTTTGTGACTGTTCAGTATAACCAATCACTGTATTTGACACAAAACATCCACAATTCCCACTGCTGCCCTGTGCAGTGGGGGACAAGCCAAAAAAGGGGAGGAAGGGGAAAAAAAAAATCAATGTATCAACCTGTGCTCCGAGTTTTTGAGTTGTTTTCAGCCCTGGCACATGCTGTAAATGCAACAGCAGCTTTACCACAACCCAGCTGCATCTTGCTCCTAAATAAAGGCATTCAATCCTCAGTTCCTACCCAGCTCAACCCTAAATATGAAGAAGCAACTTTCCTGGGAAATGATGGGTGAGAGGGTTGCTTGGAAATACAGCACATGTTAAAATCAGCCCCTCATCTCCCAGCTCCTGAGCTGGGTGGCAGGACAGGACTCTGTGTTTGCCCCTCTGCTCCTGGCAGATGCTGCCAGCATGGCATGACAACTGCTCAAGCAGCACTGAATTAAAGGAAAAAAAGGGATTCACAGGTTCAGTTTACCTAGAAAACAGATTCTGCAGTTGAAGATTTGAAGAGAGGTTCCCTTTGCCCACAAAGCATCCCAGGTATGTGCTCACAGCCCCACGCTGAGAGCAGAGACACGGGAAGGGCAGAGTAAAACTCGCTCTCTGCCAGACAGGCCTCTGGGAACAGCAAAAAGTGGCACCTCCTGACCTGCCAGCCCCAAACCGACTCCTCAGGGGTGCAAAGCACAGCCAGGAAATGTCCCAACCCCCCTCAAAGCCAGCTCATGGGCTGGGGACAGGGACAGAGACGATGACACCAAGGTTTCCTACCCAACTGCCCACGCAGGACAGCGCAGAAGTGCCCACAGAAAACCCCGGGAGGAGCTTTCTCCCCACTCCCCAGGGCAGGAAATGAAACCCAAACAAACAGATTCTTCGTGCAGAGGATGAGCCTCAAACCACCTCTGCAGCCCTCGAGGCTCAGCTGTTTGTGCAGCACAAGGAACCCCAGTGGACCAATTGCACCCTGAAGCTGCTGCAGATGAAGAAGCGTTTGTGGCTGCCTCTTCTTGCACAGGAACTGGAAGTGGGGGCAGCGTTTTACCAAGCCACTCGAACCAGGGTGATCTAAACCCACCCCAAAATGAGCCTCCTCCCAGCTCCCAGTAGCTGTTCCTCTGTCAGCACTGACTGAGGAGTGTGTGTGTGATTTATCAGTTTACACAGTTACTCTGCTACCCAAAGGCAGCAGGAAGTGACTGGGGAGCCCCAGGAACTGCCTGCAGTGAGGAATTCAGACACAGCCACTTTCTCAGCTCAGGGTGGAATTCCCAGCAGGGTATTCTGCTGCACTTTGGATGGCTAAAGCTTAAATGTTCTGGACGTTAAAATCCCTGTACCCCCTTACCCACTAAAACCTCACCTGGCTGTGCACAGTTAGGGGTACACCACCTCCCTGCAAGTTTTCCAAAACTCTGACTTTCCAGTAAGCAATGGGATACCAACCTGACAATTCCACCGCCGGTTTTAAAAAGCTACAATAAAACCCATCCTGGCAAACTTTGACTCGCTGATAACACTGGGAAGTACACGAGAGGAATTGCTCAGGCAGGATTTCCATCCTGTGCTCCCACCAGCAGAAATACCGCAGTAAATACCCATTTTATCCACAAGTGACTGCTGAGCACGATCACTGATAACTGGCACAAATTAAAAAAAAAAAAGAAAGGAGGTATCGGGGAGCGGACAGGCTGCTATCAGCACCAGCAGCTGCTCTGCCAGCCTGGTGCAGAACCCTCCGGCCTGGCCTCGCCCCTGGCACCAGGAGGGGTGTCCGGAGTCGTGTCCGTGGTCACGGAGCCGGTACCGAGGGCAGACCCGCGCCGGGGGGTTCCCCCGGCCCCGCACCCCCCGGCGGGCAGGCGGATCCCCGCAGCTCAGCCCCACCCTGGGAGTGCCCAAGGCCAGGCTGGACGGCGCTCGGAGCAACCCGGGCTCGTGGAAGGTGTCCCTGCCCGTGGCGGGGGCGGAACGGGCTGGTCCGTAAGGGCTCCCCCCTCCCCCGGTGCTCCCCGGCGGTCTCACCTCCTCGCTCTCGCCGCGGTTGCCGGCCGCCAGCCGGGACACGTTCTCCAGCACCTCGCAGAACTGCTCCAGGCTCACGGCCTCGTCCCCGCGGCTCAGCCGCTCCTCCAGCCACCGCACCAGCGAGCTGTGGTGCCGCGACACGAGCGGCTCGGGCAGGGCCGCGTCCCGCAGCCGCGCCGTGGCCTCCCGCAGCCGGGCCTGCTCCAGCAGCACCTCGGCCGGCGGCAGCGCCGGGGCGGCCGCGCCGGGCTGGGGCGCGCCGCCCGCCGGCCCCTCCATGCCTTCCTCGGCGCCGTCCTCCTCCTCCTCGCTGCTGTGGCTCGCCGCCGTCCCCATGAGGCGCTCGGAGCCGCCGCCACCCGGCCCGGCCCGGCCCGGCCCGCCTTACTCAGCAACTTCCCGCCCGCCGCACCTGTCAGCGCGGGCCGCCGCAACGCCGCAAAGCGCGCCGGGACAGAACGCCGCGCCGTGCCACACTGCCGCAAAGCGCGGAGCGGGGAGTCGTAAAGCTCCGCCCCAGCCCCACCCCGGACCGTGACGTGAGAGGGGAGGAGGAGATGGAAAAGGAAAAGGAGGAGATGGAAAAGGAAAAGGAGATCGAGATGGAAAGGAAGGAGGAGAAAGGAAGGAGAAGGGGAGAAGGAGGAGATGGAAAAGGAGGAGAAGAATAAGAAGGAGAAAAGGAGAAGTAGATGGAGAAGGGGAGAAGGAGATAAGGAGATAAAGAAGGGGAGAAGGAGATAAAGAAGGGGAGAAGGAGATGGAGAAGGGGAGAAGGAGATGGAGAAGGAGGAGAAGGATAAGAAGGAGAAAAGGAGAAGTAGATGGAGATGGGGAGAAGGAGGAGAAGGATAAGAAGGAGAAAAGGAGAAGTAGATGGAGATGGAGAAGGGGAGAAGGAGATGGAGAAGGGGAGAAGGAGATGGAGAAGGGGAGAAGGAGATGGAGAAGGAAGAGAAGGATAAGAAGGAGAAAAGGAGAAGTAGATGGAGATGGAGAAGGGGAGAAGGAGATGAAGGAGGGGGAGATGTAGAAGTAAGAGAAGGAGCGGCTGCAGTGGACCCAAGGCAGGGACTGGAGAGGATTTGGGCCTGGAATGGTGTGGTCTGATGGGGAGAGACTGCGGGAGCTGTGCCTGGAGAACAGAACACCGAGAGGGCGTCTCATTAATTCCCCTAAGTGCCCCTCCCAAGGGGGGGTGTCACAGGATGCTCCCAAAACTCCGCTCAAAGACAAGGACGAGGAGCAGCGGCCGCAAACTAAATCACAACAAGCTCCACCTCCACATGAGGGTGGCCCGAGCGCTGCGGAACAGAGCGCTCGCGGAGTCTCCCCTCTTCCGGACACATCCCAACCCACCCCTGGACGAGGTTCCTCCCACCGCATCCCGTCACGCCGCGATTGCGGTGGAGGGCTCCGCCGGGGATGTGGCGGGCCTGGAACCCGCGGGGCTCGAACCCGCGGCCTCCCCGGAGGCAGGCGGCGCCCAGGCACAGCAGCGCCGCGGCCGCGGCGCTGCTGTGCCTGGGCGCCGCCTGCCTCCTGGGGGGCCGCGGGTTCGAGCCCCGCCACCGCCTGCTCGGCGCCGCCGAGCTGCGCCGCTACCGGGGCGCTCCGGGGGACCCCGGGCTGTACCTCGCTTTGCTCGGGAGGGTTTTTGACGTGCAGAGCGGCCGCCGACACTACGGGCCGGGCGGGGCTTACAGCGCGCTCGCAGGTAGGGCCGGGAATGGCGATTGGGGGGCCTGGCTGAGGGGAGGAGGTGGGGGGGTGGTGGTGTGAGGGATTTACCCCCTGGCTGAGGGAGGGATTGGAGAGGGGGTGGTGTGAGGGATTCACTCTCTGGTTGAGGGAGGTTCCCCCTTTGGTTGAGGGGGATTTCATCCCCACCTTGGCTGGGGGTACATCCCCTGGCTGAGGGAGGAGGTTGGAGGGGAGTGGTGTGAGGGATTCACCCCCTGGCTGAGGGAGGACGTGTGTGGGGGGTGGTCTGAGGGATTCACCCCCTGGTTGAGGGGGCTCCCCATTTGGTTGAGAGGGATTTCACCCCCACGTTGGCTGGGGGTTCATCTCCTGGCTGAGGAAGGAAGTTGGGGGTGGTGGTGTGAGGGATTTACCCCTTGGCTGAGGGAGGTTCCCCCTTTGGTTGAGGCTGGGGGTTCATCCCCTGGCTGAGGGAGGAGGTTGGAGGGGGTATCTGAGAGATTCACCCCCTGGCTGAGGGAGGAGATGGGGAAGTGGTTTGAGGGATTCACCCCCTGGTTGAGGGAGGCTCCTCCTTTGGTTGAGGGGGATTTCATCCCCCCCTTGGCTGGGGGTTCATCCCCTGGCTGAGGGAGGAGGTTGGAGGGGAGTGGTGTGAGGGATTCACCCCCTGGCTGAAGGAGGTTCCCCCTTTGGTTGACGGGGATTTCACCCCCCCCTCCCTTGGCTGGGGCTTCATCCCCTGGCAAAGGAACTGGGATCTCACCCCCGACTGGGGAGTTCACTCCCTGGCTGGGGAATTCAGGCCCCGGCAGAGGAATTCACTCCGGGGCTGGGGAACTGGGTCAGACCCCTGGCTGAGGGTTTTGCTCCATGGCTGAGGAATTCACCTCCTGCCTGAGGGACTGGCTCCCATGTCGGAGGTTTCATCCCCTTGGCAAAAGGAATTCATTCCATGGCTGGGGAATTGGGGTCTCACACCCTGGCATGGGAATTCACTCCCTTGGCTGGGGGGTTCATTCCATGACTGGAAATTCACTCCATGGGGGATTCATTCCATGACTGGGGACTCACCCCCTGGCACAGGAATTTGCTTCCAGTCTAGGGTCTCACTCCCTCTCTGGGGGTCTCACCCCACAGGCAGAGATGCCACCAGAGCGTTTGCCACGGGCGACTTCAGCGAGTCCGGGCTGGTGGACGACGTGTCAGCACTGTCCCCGCAGGAGCTGCTCTCCATCCAGGGCTGGCTGAGCTTCTACAGAGAACACTACGAGCCTGTGGGTGGGTGCTGGGGCTGGGGGGGCTCACAGGGGACACACAAGGGTTGGGGAAAAAGTTGAAAAGCTGGGGACAAAATACCAGGTTTCATCTCCGGAGCATCACCTTGGGGAGGGTCTCTCTGTGCTGCAGACTCCGAACCCTTCGAGTGCCCGGCTGGATCTGCTGCCCAGGCACACCCAGGTTCTGCTTCCATCTGAGGTGAAGCTGAACAATTTGCCCACCTGGGCTGTCAGCTCTGCCCTGCTTTTCCTGAGCCAAAGGCATGGAGCCGGCCTGCAATCAGCAGGACTTGGGAGACTGCAGGAACAGCAGTGCAGGGAATGTCTGTGCCTAAGCTTGTCCTGTGTGGATTTATTAATAGGGGTAAATTGCTGGGTGATCCAAGAGTTGCTTGAAGGGATGTAAGCTCAGTTCAGTTCTAAAATTGGGCTGTGGTGACATCCTCCTTTTTTTTTTTTTTTTCCTTCAAATAACAAATTACACGTAAAAAGCCACCAGGACTATGCATTTTCCTTGCCTGGAAACACTGAGATCTTACTTGATCTTCTCTCCCAGGGAAGCTGGTGGGCAGGTTCTACGATGAGAACGGGGCACCCACAGAAGCCCTGAGGGAGGCTGAGGCTGCCATTGAGGAAGCTCTGAAATTTCAAGCAGAGAGTGAGCAGAGGAAGCAGCAATTCCCACCCTGCAACTCTGAGTGGAGCTCTGCCAAGGGCACCCGCTTCTGGTGCTCCACAGAGAGGTAAACTGCCTTCCCACATCGTGGGTCCTTTGGAGCAGAGCATTTCTGCCCCCTTTTGGGTGCCCTGCACTGTGTCATTGCTCCCCTGGTGGGAGCCTGATCCCCCCCAGCTCCCCCCTCCTGTCAGGGAGTTGCAGAGAGTGAGAAGGTCCCCCCTGAGCCTCCTTTTCTCCTATTCTCTCACACTGGAATCAAAATCAGGCTTCAGAATTTGCCACATGTTCTCAGGAAAACAGGACAAAATCCCCAGTAGGACTGGCACTGGAGCAGGTTCTCTCCCCTCTCAGGAATACAAGCATGAAGTGTTTTTGACACAGTTTCACAGCCTGTCTGACAGGCTGCTGCCACAACAGTTTTCACTTAAACCACATAAAAATGAGGTTGAGCTTTGAACAGTCATTTCCTACCTACTTTCCTATTTAGTTGTGTTCTGCTCTCCGTTTGGGGACTATTTTGTTTGAAGATTAAATCATTTCACAGCCCACACTGCAGAGTGGTCAGGCTTCACATCAGTCCCCCCTACAGCTCTGGGGACCTTGGGGACCTGCCCCTCTGTGTGACTGAGCGAGGGGGCAGCCTCGGGACAGGTTCCCAGCTTTAAAAGCTGCTGTGGTTGGGGGAACAGCAGGATCGGGCCTAGGAAGAGTCACTTAAAGGTGTAAAGACACGATGAATTGGCTGGGGAACTACTTGAAACTTTTTCCTTCTGCCTTGGGTCTCCAAATCAGTGTGTTCAGTGCAGGCACAGAAGGCCTTGAGCAGCCTGGTTTGGTGGAAGGTGTCCCTGCTCATGGCAGGGGGTGGATTGGATGATCTTTAAGGTCCCTTCCAACCCAAACCACTCTTTGATGACGTGTGGTCACCTGTGAGCAATGAGGTTCCTCCAGAACAGGCATTTTGCTGTGTTACAATTCCAGTGATTCCTTTTCCAGCAGTGGCAATGTGGGACACAGAAGTTGGTCACTCCCACAAGGGTGACAGTGTGAAGCAGCAGTGATGAAACCAGGCTGAGGCCTCGGGTTTCTGAAGCACAGCCATTGAAAAGGTATCACAGAGCTGTGGGGTGGGAGCTGCTGGGAGCAAAGTCGACCTCAGTGGGGTGCATTGTTAGTTCTGATTCCCCCAGATTGCCTTGGGGTATTTTTTCTAATGATCTTCTGTGCACTGGAAGCGTTTCCATGGGTGTGAGCTGTAATTTATTTTCCTTTTGCCTTGCCAGTGGGGGAGTGAGCAGAGGCTGGGCCGGAGTCCCTCGCAGGCTGTACCGCCCTGGCTCCAGGGGCAGTGGCTGTGTGTGTGTGAGGAGCACAGGGCCCCCCTGGGGCCACCCTCCCTCCTCCCAGCACAGCGACAGGGGGGACCTGGATGACCCTCACCTGCAGGAGTACGAGGGCTGCCCTCCCCTGGCCGAGCAGTGTGTGCTCCCGGGCTGATTCCAGCTGCTGCATCCATGGGGAATCCTGCAGGGAACATGGCACGAGGGTGGGGGGGGGCAGCTCCAGCTCCACCCCTTCCACCTGCCTGTGCCAATAGCAATTCCATATTATTTGTGATGCTTTTTAACCTGTGGAGATGGAGGTGAGGGAGGGGGGAAACACTTTAGCCCAGTCAGTGGCTGCAAAATCAGCAGGGTATTTCTATGGTGTTTTTACAACTGCAAGATGCACAGCCTGAATTCTATTTAAAACCTGCTTTCTTGTGCAGCCAGGAAATAGGTTTTTGGTGTGCTCAGTGGTGGGACAACACCTTGGGTGTTGAGGGTCAGTGAGCACAGAGCTGCTGCAGCATCACTCACCTCAGCTCCTGCACCGTCCTCAGGCCCTGCTGCATTTCTGTGCTGATGCTCCTCCCCAGGCTCCTGATTCGCTCCAGAGGGTTTAAAGGTAGCAGGGAGAAGCCTGAATGTGTCCCACAATTAGGGCACACAGTATCTGGGAGCCTGTGCAGTTGGGTTACACACAACCTTTATCAGTGTCTTGGAGTACAGAAGGCAAAGGCCAGAGCTGGCTTTCCTCATTCAGTGTTTGCATGAGACAGTGGAAGCCACCTCTGAGAGTTGTTGTTTTATATTAACCTCCCCCTCCTGCTCTCTGATTCACCACTTTCAAACTGTTCAGATCAGGAATGAGTAGTTTTAAATAGCTTTTGTTACTGCCTGTGTGGCAACACAACCATCCAATAATCTGCCTCCTCTTTCCATTCTGGTCTGTGGCATCCTCCCATCTGCTCTGTGCCCATCAGGCTGAGCTGGATGTGTCCTCACAAGGCCCAATTCCCTTAAAATCCGTGGCAAAAATTCGGTATTATGAGTGATTCCTAGAAGAGCAGGGCAGGTCCTTACCATGTTTCTTCTGAGAAGGGCAAATGAACACCTGCACAGGGCCCAGGCACTCTGAACCCCGGGCTGCAGGGAAGCAGGTGCTGCTTTTTGTAGAATCTGCTGTTAAAATCAGTTCCTGGCGTAGCTGAGCCTTGAGAGTCCAGGGGAGCACAGTCTGTGCTGACCTGTGGTCAGTTCTTTGCCTTAGGGCAGCTGCCACCTCTTTAAAACAGGTGTTTGTAACTTCATTTTTAGCTACTCCCACCTCCAAAGAGAGACCCCAGAGCTAAATGATCAGTTAATTAGCAAGCTTACAGGAGGCCGGGCAGTAATTAATTCACAGTAACAGTAATCACTCTCTGGCTGCAGGACTTTTACAGCCCTTCTCACTGATAAAGTTCAGATGATGCCACAGAGCAACCTAAACGTGTAAATGCTTGTAAGAGAAAGCAAGTCAGGCCTAGTGAAGGTGGACAGCTCTAACTTCTAAGCAAGTCTGATCTTGCTGTAACACTCCAGCACTGCACAAACAGTGCTGAGGGGATGGATGGCTTTGATCGCAGGAGCTACACCAAAATCAACTCAACTGCTGCAGGAAGGCAGGGCAGGAGGATGTTGCTTTAAGGTAAAGTGGGTTGAAAACCAATTCACAGTTTATTTCTCAGTTTAGTGTTTGGAGTCACTGGGAGGGGGGAGTTTGTCTTGCACTGGGAATAAGTCATCTATTAAAGCAAACAGGGAGACACCCTCAGTGACCTGAGGTGCTCCAGGCCTGGGGGCAGCTGGATTGTTTCGCTGATTGCAGATCAGTCGGGTATAGGGCATTCACATCTTGTCAGCCAAAAGAAAGTGCAGCAGTTCCACGTGAATATGAACACCTGGAATGATTTCAGAACAAATAAAAGTTGTCATGTCCAAGTGGATGCTGTATCCCTGTTTTTCCTTGTGGTTTGGAGGGATGGCTGCCAGAGGGGGCAGCTCTCCCCAGGAGCAGATGTGTCCTTAGCAAGGTTTCACCTCAGGATGCATCATCTAGTTCTGCATTTTATTACAAGTAGAATCATTACACAACAAAGTAATGCATATTGGAAAAATACATTTTTACACTGACTCCAGACAAACATTGCAGATAAAATGCCATTGTTCTAAGACTTCCTTTTCTATTTCACAGAGGGTATTAGAAGGTTCAGAGTTACTTCTGTCACTCCTACAAGCTTTGATTTTTCTAGAGACAAGTTTGCTGCAGTACCCACCTCTGCTGGTTACAGAAAAGAGAGGACTTGCCTATTTGATCTACACAACAATCCGGCCTTGGCCTCCCACACTGTTCCATGTTAGTTTAGAAGCACTACTGAGCAGTTGTACGAGCTGTTAATCTCCAGCACAGGAAGTCATTAAGGCAGGTCAGCTTTTAGCTTTTAGCCAGCAACTCTGGAGTACCTTCAACACCGACCTTCTCACTCCACTCAGTGGTGTGAAACGGTGACTGCACCTCTCACAGAGACACAACATCTCAGCCAGACCACGGTTTGTGCTTGTGTAAGAGTGCTGGGTGGCTGCAGTCAGAAGGAATCCAGTCTCAGAACAAAAAGCTACAGCAACTGAAGCACCCGACTGCCCAGGCAGCCCAGCCCACGTGCCTGGAGCCTGGGGTGGCAGCAGCACTTCCCAGGACACCCCTTCGCCTTCCATTTACCCTTTTGTTCAAGGCTGGGCAGACTTAAGTTAATAGAAACCACTAAGAGACAGCAGGGGGAGGGGGTGGGGGTTTGGTCACCACTGTGTTAATGCTACAAAAAGGGAAGAGCAGTTTTTAGAGCTGGAAATGTATTGACCACCGCTGTGTCCCCAGAGTGCCTGGCTCCCATCTGTGCCCTGCAGGGGAGCATTGCCAGCAATGTCCCAGGAGTGCCAGAGGCCTGAGAGCTCAGACAGAGCTGGGCAGAGTGTGAGGGGCTCAGTCCCACCACACCACGTGTTGGGTGGATCAACCTCCTCGGCTGAACTAGGAAAGAACTAGGAAAGGGTTTTGGTTCAAGCTTTTCCCCTTTAGCTCTGGCAGAAAGCTATTCAGAGTTGGCTGGAAGGAAACTATCTCAAAGGCACTTTAAAATGATCAAATTTGCTGAATTTAGTTGCTTTAATGAACACTTCAGACTGTACATTTATCAATAACCTTAACTTTCAGACTTCAGGAAGAAAGCTGGGACAGCACTGGCTGAAAAAGCAAACCAGGAGTGCTATAGATGGTTTCCCAAATCTTTCCCAGAGTTTTACACCGTTTTAATTAATATTCTACTTTCTAAAAGAGCAACTAGCCAGCCTTAAACTTGCCATTCAGTTGAGTTTTCACCAGATCCACCTTTTTCCATCAGTTAAAAGCTTATTCTGTTAGAGCTGAGCTCCCTGTTCCTTTGCCCCTTGCAGAGAAGTCACTGAAAGAGTGATGTTCCAACGCTTTAGCAGTTACATCTTGTGCAGTTTTCCAGTTGAGTTGAAGTCCCCAGGCTGTGGCCTTGGAAAAGCACTCCTCTGCCAGTGTCTGGAAGCATTCTGAGCACACATTTACCCCTCCCCAGCACTGCAGTCACCGTGTTCCCATGGGACACTCTACAGTCAGGAGTCTGTCACCAAATGCACTCTCTCCATCATTAACTTTCACTGCTACAGACTTGGAGCCACTGACACCCTGCAACATCAGAAAGCAATGGACTAAAAAGTACAACGTTTGCCATCACCTATTTCACTCAAAGCACCCAGACTTGCAGTTGACTGACACTATTAGTTCTGTCACCAGCATTAACTGACACCACTGTTTCCCCACATTCACCTACAATACTATGGCAGAGATGCACCCTTTGGATCAGGAACTGTTGAGAGCCCAGCTGTGTCACCCAGGGCATTCTGCTGGAACAGGACAGCAGCGGCCATCAAACACTCAGGCAGACTTGTATTGTCATCCATTATTCCTCCTGGTGTTACAGGGGTGATTCCAGTTACAACGAGTGCATCTTGGGAGATCAAAGTGCAGATCAAGCGAGACTTGACGTGAATTCATTGTGCAAACATCAGCAGTTACACCCTCTCCTATCCTCTCCTTGTACAAGTTTGAGAAAAACCTCAAGCAAGTCTCCCCTACAGCAGCAGTCTGGTTTATCATCTGGTCTGGTTTATCATCTCATCTGACTCTTAAAGACTGACAAGTCACTATTCCAAACAGGGCAACGTGTCACCAACTGTCCCTGTGTTCACTGGAGATAACAGTCATTAAAGCAGTGCACACCAGTTCATGGAGCACAGGTGAGGAATGCTGAGCTGAGTCCAAACTAGGTTCATCTCTTGGGATAGGAACAGCCTTGGCATGGCATGGAGTTTTGCTCAAGTACCCATTTTTCCTAACTGAAGCCTTTGCCCACCAAATCACAACTTGGTTTACCAGCAAAGTCCTTTCCTGTTTCCCTGCACAAGGTGGTGATGGGTTTTCCCAGACAGCCATTGTTTAAAAGAGCATGCCCAGCCTAGATTAGAACACTGCAGGTCACTCCTAACAGGAAGCCTCCAGGTGCACTCCCCCTGCCCAGCCCCCTGCTGAACACAGCCCAAATGTAGTGTGTGGAGGTGCAGCCCAGTGTTCACTGGCAGGGCTCACTGCAGGCCCTGTGAACCCAGGGAGTGCTGCTGTCCCTCCTGGCTTCCTAAAGCACTTCAGCATTTATTGCTGTGCTGAGTCTGCCTGGCCCAGGTTTAGTGTTCCTCCTTCAGCACACGCTCAGGCCTTCAGCAAACTCAGCCACTGACACAAGTTCCCTGGACTGGAAGGACCAAGCGACGTGAAAAGGAAAGTGCAACAAGGACCGACGGTTCTAGCAGGGATGAGCAAGAGCATTTACTGCCTCAGACAATCCTGCACTTCAGAACATGCTAAAGCTGACGAGACTTTGCTGAGGAGGTATCAAGATGTGGGTCTGCAATTCTGACTGCTCTGCATCAGATGGTGTAAAGCTTTCTGTTGTAAGGCCACAATTCTGGAGCTCTACTCAGAACTACCCCGGGTGTGAAGAGTTTCTTGAAATGAACAGTGGTTGCAACAGCTCAGTTTAGCTTCACAAGAAGTCTTCTCTAGAGAAGGGGAACGTTTATCTTTAAGACAAAGCAAAGGAAGATAACCTGGTTACCCTGAAACTTAATGCCATCTCTACTAAGCAGCCTGAAAGCCACAGGACTTAATAGAGTTGCTCAGTGCAAAGCACCATGTCAAGGACACACCTGTTTTGCATCGATTCGGTCTCCATTTCAGCTTCCATACCCCACTGCAACTAGAAGAGGGTCTAAGTTCTTTTGTCACTCGGTTGCCACGATCCACTCGAATTCCTAGTGAAGTCTATCACAGCCTGATACATTTACAGTCATACAAAGTCATTTATACCAGAGTATATCATAACAGGGTCCTTAATTAGTTCAGTCTATTGCAGAAGACGTGTATAGGCCTCCTCTTCCCTATCCAGAGGGCTTGTAAGCAGAGCTGCTGTCAGGAGCACTGACTGGGAATCCCTTTCCTTCCACAGCATACTAGGAGACTCCTCCCAGAGTCAGGACATCAAAGCAGATGTTGCAAACTCGGACTGGCTTGTTCAGATCAAATTTGATGATGGGAATCTCCTTTGTTGAGCACTTATGGCAGAGCAGGCGTCCACAGTGTCGGCTGTTGGCACAAGAGGGGTGGGGGAAAAGGGAGTTCACTCCTAATGAACACCAGGATTTTATCCTTTGACATTCCTGATCAGTGCTGTCATCTCTACAAACGCTGTGTTTATCTCATATCTTCTGCTGTCTCTCATGGAAGAGTTTACAAATACCAGAACCACACGATGCTTCTGTGCTGGTCTGTCACTGGAATGACTTCAACTGAGCCACCTGTGCTTTCTCTGGAACACTGGGCTAAGAAAATCTTAGCTTAACATCCCCCTAGCCCAGCATGTTTTGTGGAAGTTCAGACCAGTTAAAAAAGGCAACTCATATCTATGTAAGAGCAACTCCTTTTCAGCATTTTCAGCCCTCACAAACAGAACCCCAAAGCTGAGCTGGCAACACCTGCCCAAATGTGTCCCCTGTTTCAGGGCAGGTCAGCCCCACACAGGGCTGGTGTGCTCCCTCCTGCCTGTCCTGGATAAGAAACAGCCAGAGGGCTGGAACTTGGACAGGATTTCTCATTTACAGCCAGTCAGAACATTAAATGCACAAACTGCTTAAGATAAGATTCTGGTCAGACCACAAGTTACTGATCTAAGACAGGGGGGAATGTTTCAGCTGGATTAGTGGTTACACACCTGCATTAACATGCAGGTTCCCTAAACCACCAGCAGGAACAAGAATAACCACATTTGGAAGAGGAATCTTTCCCTGTAAGCACAGCAAGATGGGTCACGTTACCAGTGATGTTTCCTTGTCGTGACTCCGAATTTGGCAGTGCACTCGTAGCAGTTGGAGCCATCACACCAGGGAGGTTCTTTTGTCAGCATATCTGTTAGAGGCAAAGATGGAAAGACAAAATGGGCTCAGGCACCTCTTGAGTTCACTATACATACTAAGGAGGCTTTGTCCTGTTTTAGGTTGCAGCCACTATAATGGATTTAACTTCTTTTGCAGCCTTGTTCAAAGACAATGCAGAGTTGCTTTCAACATCATCACATTACCCACAGCAGCAGTTAAAAAGCAGTGCCTGGCTTTTAAGCTACATCAGACTACACAACCAGCCAGGAGCTTCCATGTCTACCCTTCCAGAAAAAGCACTATTTAAGTTTGACAGGTCTGCACTGTACAACTACTCAGCTGATCATGACAAAAACAAGTATTTCTGCCCCCACTGAAAGTAGTATAAAATTCTCAAGATCAGCCTGTCTGGAATAACTGCCATCTAAGTGAGGTGTCCAGAATTCCTTCCTTCACTGAAATGTCCCAGCAGCATGAGCTAAACACACTTCCCACTGCAGCCAGTGGAACTCACCCAGCAGCCTGAAGAGCAGCTGTTTTGTAGCAACTTGGTAGTTGAAGATGTTGACTCCCTGATTGTTGTTGACCCCAAGCCGAGCCCCAGCTCTCACTATTGCACGACACAGGTTGGCATTTCCCTTCATGTAAGCCAAGAGCAGCACTGGAAAATAAAAGCCAGTTCCCTGCTAGCAGAGTGGCAGGTTGTGGTACCCTCAGTGCAGAGCAGCATCTTCAGTTTTTAACTTCCTGTGCAATGTTTTCATCTTACTGTGTTTAACATATCACTGCCAATTATTCCAGCTTTCAGAGTGACATGCCATGAATACAATTTGAGTGGTTTTCAAGTAGAACAGCTGTTGAGTGTCACCCACCTGTGTTTCCTTCAGCATCAGGTTTGTCTAGAGGGTACTCTGGCATACACTCCAAGAAGAGGTCACAGATGGCTGCTGCATTATCTTTCCCATATTGTCCCAAAATATGCATTGGTGACTGGCCTCTGGGGAAAAGAGTTTGTTATCCTGATCAAAGTCTGCTTGCTACTGCAGTTCCTCATCCAGCTCTCCTGGTTTTTGAGTTTGGTTCAGACTCAAACACCTCAGTAACTCAGTCCCACACACACAGAATATTCTGAGGGGGAAGGGACCCACAAGGACCATCAAATCCAGCTCTTAAGTGAATGGTCCATAGAGGGATCAACCTCACAACCTTGGTGGTGTTAGCACCAGGCTGTAACCAACTGAGCTCATCTCAACTCAGCTGTCTTTTCTTGGTGGATGTCTATAATTTCCACAGGATTTAGACCCAGCATCATCTGCACACTTCACTCAAAGCTGTGTATAAATATTGTAATACAAGCCAAGTCCTTGTTGTTTGATTTTTTTAAACTGGCCATATAAGCATTTATTGTAAAACAGAATGTGGCTCTTTTAGTCTCAAGACTCTAAACCATTACCTGACATTAAAGGCTTCTGCATCCACATTGCACTCCGTGAGGAGCACCCGGATGTTGTTCAGCCGGCCGTGCATCACTGCCAGGTGAAGAGCTGCAAAGTAAAAACAAGGTTCAACACTCTGAATGTCAGCAAGAATTACAGCCTAATAAATAAATTAACACACCCTCAACCTTCCACTTCTCCCATCTTGCCTCTCAAAACCTCTGATTTCTTGGACTTTCATGCTGTTCCCCCTCTGCAGAACCAGCCTGGGCTCTCCCCAGATCTACTGAAGTGCTTGCACTGACTTGTGTAACCCGACATTTACCATTATTCCCATTTTCATCTACAGCTGCAAAGTCCACTCCATTCTCCAGAAGGACCGAGCAGATGGTGGGCAGGTCTTGCTGTACTGCCAAGTGCAGGGCAGTCTGGCGGTGCTTGGTCAGCTCGTTCACCTGGGCCCCTGCAAGCAGCTGTCAGGGTGCAAAAGGGACACGGTCAGTGACGGTTCCAGGGCTATTTCTTTGTGTCTGTGAATGAAGCACACAAGACTCCACTGCACAGAGACACTGCAGGGCCTCCAGCACACAGGAAATGCTGTCATTACTGAGCTGCTGCAATCTGTGTTTGGGTTCAAATGTGCAGAAAGGCCAAGGGAAGGTTCTTCAGGTGGGTCACAGCGCCCAGGGACTGCTGCAGACCTGTGGGAAGGCCACTGAGCCAGCTCAGCAACAGCACAGACTAGGGGAGCTTTCTGTTTCAGAGCAAGTGGTGCCACCCTCAGGTGCCCTCTCCAGGTTACAGCACTGTGTGTGAGGCCACCCCTGCAGTTTCCAGCAGAGAAAAAGCGACTCCAGCCCGTACCAGGTTGCGCACGATGATCTCGGAGCCAGCCTGCACTGCCAGGTGCAGAGGGGTCAGTTTGGAGGCATCCTGGACCCTGGAGTTCACATGGGCCTGGACACTGATCAGGAACAGCACACTCTCGATGTCCGAGTTCTGAACAGCCACGTGCAGGAAATTCCGGCCTTTATTATCGACCTGGGGCAGACAGGGCAGGTGAAATGAAAGCCATTATTGCTGGAGAACAAGTTGATTATGTAGAAGGACATATTTTCACTAAGAGACACTTGCTCCATCTACTTGAACTGCAGGGTCTTGTTCCTTTCACTGGCTGACATGAGAGACTTATCTGTTAATCACATCTAGCAGGTAATTTCTCAGTTTGTTATCTGCTGCAACTGCTCACTCAAGCCTGCTGCAGACTGCTTTATTTCTGCTTTCTAACCCTGGCACGGCTTGACCACACACTGGAGAGGACTGTTAGACAGGCAAAAGGTTAATGGCTGTTGTAGTGAAGCACTGAGAGCAGTTAATGATAAATTCAGTTAAATGAAACAAGCTGGAGTCAATCTGGCAGATAATGCAGGAGAAGGAAGCAACATGCAATCCTGCCACACTGATGCAAAGTGCACTCACAGAACCATGGAATGGTTTGGGTTGGAAGGGACCATCCAGTTCCAACCCCCCTGCCATGGGCAGGGACATTTCCACTATCCCAGGTTGCTCCAAGCCCCGTCCAAGCTGGCCCTGGACACTTCCAGGGATGGGGCAGCCACAGCTTCTCTGGGCAACCTGAGAATTCATTCTGGCTCAGTACCAAGCACATGTTGTTCAACTTTGCCTTGAAGCTGATGTTAAAGCATATTCAGAACTACTTGTATTTATAACTATGTTTTAGATATATTACAAGAGCTCACTAAGCACTGAAATACTTTACTAGTAATTAAACTTACACAGGGTAGGAAGAATCTCCTGAACAGCTGCCTGAAGTGTCACACCAGAAGCCTGAAGATACAGTTGGAGATTTTATAGTTCAGCAGGGCAGCATAGCATCTATTTTTCAGCTATTTTAGGTCAGCTTTTCTGGTTTGGATAGCTTTAGGAGAGCTGGGTAATAGATTATTTCTGTACTAGTCCAGCACAAGACAAGAGCAGAGTTAGAATGTTCTCCTCATGTACACACATGGCTGTTCCTCAGCTTAGCGCTGACAAGATAAGGTTTGACAAGACACTAAACCTTCATGTTCTTACTCACACACAGGACACACCCCCTCAGATTCCTAATAAATCCTCATCAGGCAATCTGGCATCTGGCAAACGGATTGCATGTACAGACACAAGGATGGAGCAGAACTGGCCTGTGGAACCACTGTTACCACAAAGCAGGGCAGCAACGAGACCACCATGGTTTGCACACTCGCAGCTTACCTGTTCAGCAGCCCCTGGTTCCCTCTTCAGGATCGCTTCAGCTGCTTTATTGTTTTTGTACGTCATGGCACAAGCAAAGGGAGTCATTCCCTGCCTGTCACGGACATTCAGCTTGATATCAGGATGGGAGATCATCAGCTGAATGATAACATTATGCTGGTTGCTAATGGCAACGTGGATTGGAGTTCTTCCTTCTGCATCCTAGAAGGAAAGCAGGAAGTTTCTTACACGAAGATCCAGTCACACACCAACCCTTCCCTAATTCTGAAGGGTCAAGCAAAGCCGGCAGTTCAGTTCTGTGGCACACCAGGCTGCCTGCAGCAGGGACACCAGAGAACTGCAGTGGGAGCTCAGACCCACAGTGCAAAGAGAAGCAAACCGGGATTTGTTTCTCCTACCAGGCTGACCTCAGTCCTGTGCTGGAGAGCCGTGCAAGTGGCTCAGTGTAACATCTCCCACACAGTCATCTGGGGGCAGAGATGGGCACTCAGATTCAATGGCAAATTCAACAGAGGTGGTTAATCCTTTGTCTGCATCAAGCAGCACTTTGCAGCCACGTGACTGTGCTCTGTGATTCATTCTGATCTCACTTTCAACAGCATCAGGACCTAGAAATGTTCTCCATTCATTTCTTTTGTCCTTATTTGTCAAGGTTTTGTCTGAGGATTAATGTGTAATCAAAAGTGAAGTGCAACTCATACTCACATCACCTCAGTTTACTCAGTAACAGAAGACACTTCCCAAACACACCAAAGTGGAGTGTTATGGAGTTTTACACTGTAGCTGATTTAATGATTAATTGCAGCAGAACAGAGCCCTGCTCCTGCCTTTAATTCACAGTAGGGGCAGAAGAGCTGAATTCTAATCATTACATCAGCAATCTAACACTGTACCATTATTTTCCTTCAGCACAGCCTCCTGAATTAACCTACCATATGGGCAGATAAGCCCTAGGCCTGGTAACAAGGGACAGGAGGGAAAGCAGAGCTGCATCGGCTCAGCTCTAAGAGCAGGATGTTCTTTTCCCCATCAACCAAAATACACCGCTGAGAGGAGTTTGTTTTCACTACATTAGAGGCAAGTAATCAACTTTCAAAATTGTGCCCAGTTTCTCCACACACCTGAGCATTGACATTGGCACCAAACTCCAGAAGGCACTGGATCACCTCTTCTAGGCCCCAGCAGGCTGCCAAATGTAGGGGTGTCTGTCCATCATGAGCCTCCTCTTCTCCCTCTCCATTCGGGCCCGGCTTTCTGGGACTATTCACATCACACCCACTGCAACACAACACTCAATTTACTGCTTAACCCAGATCTGAACTGTTTCAAAAAGGGTCAGAAAGAAGTTTACAAGAGCTGACCCAGCAACTGCTGACACATCCTACAAAAGCACAGAGCCCTGGTTTTAGTTTGACTCTAATCCTCAAGACCAGGATGGTAACAGAGATAACAGAGTGTGTCCAAGATCAGTCAGAATTCCTGAAGTCCCTCCCACCGAGAGCCTGAGAAGCACATACTTGTTACTGACTCAGGACAGCACTCAATGAACCTACACCAGGGACACACATCTGCACACTGCAAGGTCTGGGATTGGGATTTCCTGACCTGCGGATGAGGAAGCATCCAATCTGTTCACTGTTCTCATCAATAGCCCTGTGCAGGAGGGTTTGGAGGCAGCCACTTGGTCCTGGCCCCCAGCAGGTTGAATCACAGCCATGCCTGACCTGGAAGGAGAAACACAATGAGGCACTCGAGGCTTTTTATGTCTCCAGACTCCTCCTCTAGTCCCTGTCTAATGCTTCTGGAACACTGGCCCTCAGAGGCAGACCTTGAGATGCCTTGTGTGTTCTCTGGCAGTCACTGAATTTCAGGAAGCTGCTGTGAGGTCTTCCAGACCAACACTTGACTGGTTTCTTATGTAATCCTTAATTAGGTGGTATTTATTAACAATTCAAATATTCACCCATATACTTTGATAGACAAGTCTTAAGCCAGTTGGACAGGTTACCTCACTCGCAGCACCTACAGCAGATCAAGCAGCATCTGCAGGCACTGCCTTTGAAGCTCTGGCCCATTTACCTGCTTTTCTACACATTCAACTTAACAGTTTCTTCCACGAGCTGTACTGCTAATATTGGTATTTTTCTACTAGAGAACTACAAACTTGAGCAGTGAGCACTGAACACTTGTTCCACTCCACTTTCCAAGGTCTGCACATGAGCAGTTGCTGTGTTGACCCCAGAAAGGTTCTTATCCAATACCAGCACAAAGTCAAGTACAGTTACAAGACTTATTTCTCAGATCACCAGCACAGCTTTTAAACAGTTGTCTCAAGCAGACCAAAACTGGGTATCAGAGACAAGACTTTCAAGTAACTTCCTTATGAAGAAGATAAAAGGAGGTCTCCTTCAGTCTCCTCAGAAACCTCCTCTTGGATCACCTGTGCCTGAAAGTAAATTTGTCTTTAATGTAAATATAAGCCTTTAAAGGCCTTCTTGGTGCAACTTTAAGATGCACTAACGCACAGGCATGTTCAGTGTTATCAGGACACTGATCATTACACAGGCCTGGCATGCTATGGACTGATGCTTTCAGTGGATCTTTACTCCTTCCAGGATCTAGACAGCACATTCTCTAGTATTTTACTGCAGTGCCTGCAAGGGATTTGGCTGTATTTATAAAAGATTTCTGCACAAAAGAGGGACCTCTGGTGAAAAAAACCCTCTAAAATTAGTGATGCTGGACCACTGTGTTCTGTTCATGCACTGAGTTTGGTTTTGCTGATAACCTCTTTCGTTGCCTGCCCAAAACTCAGACTGAATTAAGCCAACTGACAGTCTCACCAGAGTTGATGCAATGTCTTCCAGGTTGTTTTCCAGGGCAAGCCACAGGGGAGGATTCCCCTTCTCGTCTGGCACGGACATGTCTGCTCCCCTGGTACAGATGGCATCCACCACCAGAGGGAGCTGGTTTTTGATGGCCAACTGCAGGGCCGTCTCCCCGTCCTGTGTCCTGCAGCAGGGACAGGTCCGAGGGTGTTACCACAGGGGTTTATAGCAAAGCCAAAGATCCCTCCTCACACGTCTATTCCTGCTGTGGTTTCTCTCCAGCCAAGCAAACACACCACGCTCATATTTCATCACAGCTTTGTATTTACCTTTCTTCCCCCCTTTAGTAGCAAGTGATTGATTTCTGGAGTTGGAAAAGTGAGTGTTCTCAGCTCACAGACACTCACTGCCTTCAGTGCAGCCATTATTTGAACAAGCTCCTTCAGAGCCAGCCTCTGCCACAGCAGAGAACAGCTTTGTCTGCAATGTGGCAACACTTCAAGCACCAGTCAAACACCAACTGTTAAAAGCCTCAAGTCCCAACAGCAGCATTAGGCAGTTTGTACCCCTGACACTCATGGCAGTTACAGATTGCCAAGTTTCCCAGCCAGCCTGTCAGTCATGTGAGCAGACAAATGTTCTGCTAAGCCTGATATCGAGTTGTCTTGTAGGAGATACTCAGGAGGCAAGTTCTACTGGAATCTCATTGCTGGACCTACAGCAAATTGTTTCAGGTGGCAGCAAACACGCAGCTCCAACAAGCTGGCAAATGGATGGGACTGTGCAAGTTCGGTGTCTCTGGGCCTGTCTCTAGGGCTCAGAACTGTCATCTCCTCCTGCAGCCGCTAGAGGAGGTACCGACCAAAGGAGCCACACTCAGGGCCAAGTTCACACACGTGACCCCTCAGCTACAGTGCCATCAAACAGTGACAAGCACAGAACTGTGCACAGGTCACAGTCTGAAACCAACCTCAAGCCATTACACCAAGGCATTCGTCCCCACCTGCTCTACTCACACATCCAGTTGAGTGCTGGATCAGTTAGGATCTTACCTGACATTTATATCTGCCTGATGTTCCAGCAGGAAGAGGGCACTCTTGCTGTCCTGCCTCTGGATGGCCATGTGCAGCAGAGTCTGCCCATCTGCCATGGTGTCGTTGATGGAGGCCCCCGATCCCAGCAGCTGAGCTGCGATGGTATGCATGCCTGGGGGGTTCAAGCTCATCAGTATTTTACTTTTGGGTCTCTAAAGCACATGCACTGAGGACTAACAGAGAGCAAAAGTGCCCTGACAACACAGTGACCTGATATGAAAACAGCAGGGAGTTCACAGAGGAAAATTCCCCAGAGCTGCAAGTACAGCTGTGGGCTAGAAATCTTCCACTGTTACAGGTGAGCACTCATTTCTAGAAGATGAAGAATCACCTAAAGCTCTCCTTGACAGCTCCTCTCCAGCAGCACAAGCCAGAACATGAGCACACAACCTGCTGTTTTATCTTTTAAAAACACTCCTGTTCACATCACAGCTTCCCCAGAGTTGTGAATTGTCACCCTGTGTGGAAGGTGCATACCTGTCCAAAGAGCCAAGCCCAGCACAGTCTGGTCCCTCGAGTCCTTCAGACTGAAGTCAGGAATAATTTGCAAGTTGTTGGTGGCATGAAGAGCATTAGCTACAAAAAAGCACCAGGAGTTAGAGCATTCTTGTACCTGACCTGCAGTCACACACTGGGAGCTGCTGCAGCAGCAGCAAGGTCACAGTTTGAAGTGGGCTGTTCCTTGAGCAGCCAGTTGGAAAGATCTGAGCAAGACACCTTCAGCTTCCCTGACCTGACACTGCTTAGGATTGACAGTATTTCCACTACTGCCCAGTCTGAATACTTACACTATAAAACATTCCATTCTCTAGCTAAGAGGCTTTACCCTGACCCTTTCTACCTGCAATGCTGAACACACTGGCACACACAAAACTTGGAGAATGAAGAGTGGAGGCTGTACCACAGTGTGGTGGCAGCATCCCTCCTTCTCAGCTCCTGGGATGGAGGAGATTTACCCCAGTTCACCTACTCCCTTCTCAATCCCACTTGTGGTAGGAGACAAAGCTGGCCCTGCTTCAGCTGTCAATCTGCCCTCCTGCTGCTACAAAGAAGCTGAACTAGCAGCATTTGATAAACTCATCTGCCAGTGTTTGAGTACTTAAGTCTCAACTCTCTTGTAACACCAGCATTACCTCGTCAAAAATCCTCTTACTGAGAGTTAAGGGAGGCAGAAATCTCACCACAAAGACGCCTTTACCCAAATTTGATTCCAGCATTTGAAGGGATCTCAGTTGTACAGGTAGAATAGAACCCAGGATTAACTGCTCAAGTCCATTATCTACAGTGGAGAATTCACAAGCATTCACAGGCAAAATAATTTTCTAGTCTTAACAAGCAGATAATTTAAGGCTATATTTAGCCTGTCTTATTAATTGCTCTACTTAAAAAACGCTTACAGTTTGTCAAACCCAGCTCAGATGCCATCCTGGCACACCAATTCCCCACAGCACCAACAATCTGAACCAGCAAATCCCTACCTTTTTGTTCCAGGATGACTGACACCACATCTGGGTGATTGTAAGCGATGGCCATGTGGAGGGGAGTCTGCAGGTGAACATTCTCTGCTGTTGGAGGAGCAGATGAATCCTTCTGCCCAAGCGCTGCCTCTGCTGTCTGGATGTTGGGATTGGCTCCCTGCTGCAGCAGTTCTGCTGTCAGGTTTGCCAGGCCGTGCCTGCAGGCTGTGTGCAGGGGGGTTTCTCCCTGCAATGAAAACAGGGTGCTGGCTTAACAGCTTCACACATGGAGAGAAGCAGCTTTTAAACCACTGTTCCCACAGGAATTGGTGTGAAGAGCTTCACTCCCAGGAGCTGAAGCTCCTTAGGACTTACAGACTACTTAAGTCAGCTTTTATTAAGGACTATCCCACCAGGCACTGAGGGAAGTGTTAGAACTGGTGATGCTGCAAGAAGTCTGGTCACCAGGAAATACCTGAAAACATGCAAAGGTTCACAAAGTGCTCCAGCTTGCTTTAAGCTATGGTTTAGCAAGGAGAGATCTCTGCTGGCTCATTTCTGAAGAGCAACAAGGAAACTTTCAGGCTAAGTTTCTGCTTTTACCCGTTTGTTTTGGTGGTTGACTTTTGCCCCGTGAGTTGCTAGGAAGAGAGAAGCGGCCTCATTTCCTGCACCAGCTGCCCTCTGAAGCAAGCAGTTTCCTAAAGAAAAACCAGGAACACTGTCAGAGAGCTATTCCAACCACACTTGGATACTAACAAGCATGCTAACACCTTCCCCACCACCTTACAACACTGAAGTTTGAAGTCAACAAAGCAAATCTTGCCTATTCGAAGCCCCTTTTCAACTCTGGACTGGCACAGGCACTACCATTTAGTACTACATGCAATGACACATTTTGAAACTCTAAAGAGGATATCAGAACCTGGCAATGAGTCCAGATTTCCTCTCACTTCCTGCAAGTCCAGCTCAGCCTGGGGCTGTCAGTGCTCCAGCTTTGGGTAAAGCTGCTACCACCTGCCATTCACTGCGCAGCAAATGCTGTTAAACCTCATCCAGCTCCTCCCAATGCAGTCAGCATTAAGCAGTTAACTCACAAGCCTTCCACCTACACAGAAATACAAACCTCTGGTTTACCTGTCACTGTGTCTGGAGCATCTGTGTTGCTGCCTCGTTGGATCAGCCTCGCTGCGAAGCTGTTCTCGTCAAAGGAGGTTCCATTCACAACAGGGGCGTCCTCGAAGGGGTTCACAGACTGGTCAGACGACACGGTGATGTACTGAACTGCCAGCCACAGAGCTGTGCTTCCCTCATGATCCTTCAGCTCCAAGTCTAGTCTAAAAATAAGAGTTGGTGTCCCCCAATTTATACCTTAAAAAGTGGTTCCCCAGCTCGGCTTAAGTTTCAAGAGGCTGAGCAGCTGCACTGGTTCATCTCGTAGCTCACTGACAACTCCTGCTTGCCAAAAAACCTGCTGTAGCTCCAGTTACCTCAGAGAACATGGGAATACTCTCACAGCAGCACAGCACCTTCTGTGACACTACATTCAAGCTCACTGCTCCCAGCAGTGTGGCCCTGGTAGATCTGGGCTCCCACCAAGTACAGCAAAGAGGCAACTCCTGTTGTATTTGAGTAAACTGTGCACAAGAACTGCAAATTCCACTGCAAAGAAACTGAGTCAAACAAAGTGTTCTGCTTCACCACCCTGGGGTAGCTTTAGGCAGAACCCAAGAACATACTGAGACATTTCAAGAGTGTTATCACTCCTTTTAGCTCCACTACAAATGGAGGTTACACTACATCACCTTTGAAATTATTTCACCCTCTTTGAAAAAAAAAACACAAGAGTTGCAGTTTGCTGCTCCCCTACAGTAGGGCAAAAACCCCCATGGCTTCTGGCACCTTCAGTTATGCAAAGCCTTTACACTTCTGCATCCCAAGTCTATTCCTGGTCTTACTCTAAGGCAAAGAGGCACAGATGAGTTGCTCAGCCAGGTTTCATATCTTCACTGTACCAGTTAACACGGGTTTTACACGTAAATGGAACTTACTGCTTGCACTGGAGCAGCTGACTGAACACAGGCTCGTTCCTCACCACAATGGACACGTGTAACGGGGTCCTGGAATTGCAGCACAAGTTCAGTGACATCAGCAACAAGTGACACACACGATTTTGTCCCTGGTCATCCACATGCCCTGCAGATTTCTGGGCTTGGCTCCTCTCCTTTCAGAAGGGCACAAGCACATCTTGAAACAAAGATCAGTCTGCTCTCCTAGTGGACATGCTTTCAAATAATTTAGTGTAAGCAACTCAACCTAAGACTGAACTTCCAAGGCAGAAGCACAAGAGCTGGATCTATCAGCACTGTGGACACACAGCTCTTGTCCTTGGAGTGAATCAGCTGGTGTGTAACTGATACACTCCAAGTCTTCCATTTCATTTAATACACTTGTTTTCCAGCCCAACCTAACCTGGGAAACAGCTTCCTAAAACAGCCCCTGCACTTCAGATGACACACTGCAGATCCTGCTTTGCTCTGAGGTCATTTCAGTTTCCCTGACAGCTTCAAAGGGAAGCACTTTTCAGGAATACTGTTTGGCACCTTAGTTGGCCTTTTTTCACTGCTCAGTGATTCAATAAAGGCAAATTAACTGTGTGCCACGTGTCCTAACACCATCCACTCACCCCAGCTCTCTGCAGCTGGGCTCTGATTAATTGGCCATGACAGGGAACCCTTCAGCCTGCACAGCTTTGTGCTGGGAGTGCTGCCCACAGGTCTCCAGCTGGGTCCATGAGTTCACCTTTCCTGCTTTCCAGTCTCCCCTGTGCTGTGCTGGCAGAGCTGGGCACGTTCTCAGCCTCTGATCAGCACAGCACTGCCTGTTAAACTGGTGACTGCTGACTTGGCTTCCCCCAGTATTTACCTGCCTTTGCTGTCCTGCATGTTTGGGTTGGCTCCTGCCTGCAGGAGGGACTCAGCAATCTGTGCCATCTCTGCCATGACGTCAGGGGAGTGTTTCTTGGGGCTGTAGGAGGCCACGAGGTGCAGAGGGGTCTCCTGGTCCCCCAGGGTAGCAGCATTCACACGGGCACCGTTTTTAATGAGAAAGTTTGCAGCGAATTTATCTCCTTTGGGGAAACAAAACAAGGTTATTTGAGGATAGAAACACCCCAGAAAATGGATATACAGGATCTCCCTCCACACCATCCATTCATTCCAACACAAGGGTCTGCTCCTACAATGCCTCAGCAACAGGTAACTTCAACCCTTCACTGCAAAATCAGGATTCAAATACTTCACAAGCCCTGGGAAAATGTGTTTTGCCCACAGGTGACTCAAGTTCACACACGAGTTTATTATTACTGTGACAATGAATTTGCTAGTTCCTCTATCACAATAATCCATTCACTGAAGCTATGGCTACTGAAAGGTAAACCTTCCTTCTCAGAGCCCCAGCTCAGACTGAAAGCAGCAGAACCAGAGGACAAATGCCAGCATTAACTATGAGGAGCAGCCTGCTGCAACCCTTCCAGTGCTCCACAGGTCTGCAGCCATCACCACACTGACCCAGAGGGTCTCCTACTCCTCCTGCTGGAGTTTCATTCACAGGATCAGACACCAGCTTTACCCTGTTTAGGTATGTAGGAGATTAAAGGAAGAAGTTGGGAGGTGAATTTAAGTTTTCTGAGCCCAAAATAACTTCTAGGAGTCCCAGAGAGTTTGCTGTTAAAAATAAACTCCTGCTTGGCTCTCTGGAGCAGAGCTGCCAAAGACATTGCAGGAACCAGCAGCACGAGGTGTTCACTGCAGATTTTTCCCACACTTTGACCACAGGCCAAGATGCTGCTGATCCAAAGCCTTCAGAGTGCTGTGGCCATGGCAACCAGGTCCTGCTGTGCTGCACTTCTCAGCAGATGCATTTCCCACTCTAAGGTGGAGAACAGCTCAGTATAACCCTGGAGTTGTACTCAGGCTCCAGTGGTAACTACACTGCTATTCCCCAGAGCTTTGACAATGTTCAGACTGCACCTCCACCTGCTCCTCATCTTCTTTCAGTCCCATTTGGCTCCTCTAGAACTGCTGTGCAGCAGCACAGACCCTCGCTGTTCACCAGCACAAAGCAGCATATGGTGCATTCAGTCCCAGTCCAGAAAAAGATTTCATCTCTGTGACTCTCATGCTGTCACACTCGATTCAGCTCTTTGTCACACAGACATGGAATTGTCAGATCAGAACATTCCCAGTGTCTCCCTACATTTCTTCCTTTGGTAGGCAATGTTCTAGGAGACTGCACCAGGATGGCAGTTTCCCCAGCCAGCAGCCTAGTCTCACATCCCAAATAAGAGGCTGTTTGCTTTTAAGTTTAAAAAAAAAAAAACAAACAAAAAACAGGACAAAGTTCACCCTTTCACTACAATCTTCTCACTGAAGTGACAACTACAATGTGACACAGGACAAGACTTAGGAATCACGGTGGGAACAACTGGAAGCTAACAGAGCTTCCCATGCCATGCCTTACCCCTGTGGATGGCTTTGTGCAGCAGACTGCAGCCCCTGGGGTCTGCCCTGTCCACGTCAGCCTTGTGGGCCACCAGGGTGGTGGCAATGCCCTCCAGCCGCTGGGCCAGGGCCAGGTCCAGAGCCAGGTCTCCATTGGGATCCAGTTCATTGAGCTTCCCAGGAAGCTGCAACACAAACACACTGACACTGCAGACAGCCCACCAGTCATTCCAACCAGCACGGCCAGCCCTGCAGCTCCAGTGCAAAATCCCAGTGTGGTGTTTTGGTGAATGCCTCCTGCTGTTCCATGACAAATCAGCTGTGTCAACTCACAGAGAGTTCACTCAAACATGTCACCATACAGGCACAGCCAATGCAGGAACAATCATTCAGTTATTCCTTTAAGATGCCTCCAATCCCAGCTGGATTAGCAGCTAAGGGTGCTACACACCAGTAGCTTCCAGTTAAGATTTGAGGCAACTTAAAGTACTTAATGAATAATTCCTGATAATTAATACTTGAATTCTACATTCTCCCTAATTGGGGGACATCTTATTTGCTATTTAGTATTTAGTTATTTAGGAGTTTTTACCCAAACAGAACAAACACCTGTTACTTCAAACCTTCAGCAGAAGAGGGGAAGCATTTGCTCAAAGAAATGATTTTTGCTGAACTGCCCCAAAGCAGCAAAGTTGACTGTTACACCAGTCAGTTTTAAATGTAGGATCAGGTAAGGGATTTTATTATATCCAGTCTGTTGTGTGCAGGGTGTTTTAGAAATGTTCTGAATCACTTCTGAATCATGTTCTTCACAAAGCCTCTGTTGCTGGACCCCCATTACCCAGCTGTGACAATATTAAACATGCAAATCAAGGATTAGTGACAAAACCACTGACAAGGCTCAGACTGGGAGTTCAAAACCAGCTCCTCGAAACACCAAATTCCAGGAGAAGGCTCAGCTCAGTCTCACCTGCGAATCCATTTCTATAAGGTACAAGAAGACCACATCTTCCCTCTCCACTTTAATGGCCTTGTGCAGAGGATATTCTGTCTTGGACTTGAACATCTTGTACAGTAACTGGGCACTCATGCTGCTGAAATCTTCCTTGCGCAGGTCGTCCTGGGAGCAACCAAAGAGAAGGGTGAGCAACACTCCTGTCTTATTTACAGACCAGGAATTGCACAATGGAATTCTGAAGTTCACTAAACAAGTTCCATTTCGGTAACGTTTTGGCAGGAACAATCCGAGATAACCTTTTGAAATCAAGATTTAGTCGGGAAGTTTTAAATCTGACATTTTAGTTCCAATTTTTCCTCCTTTTTTTCTACAGACATGGAAAACTAGCATTTCAGCAGGCATTATGGCAGCTTAACATCTCATCTTAAAAACAATCCTGTCTGGGCTTATTCTTAATTCTGACAAAAAAAGGTCTACAGCTCTTGAAAACAGACAACTCCCCAGAACTTTGAAAAATTATCAATAAAAGTGAACAGAAACTTAGGGGCATAAAGACCTAAATGAGTTAGTGCTCATTTGACTAAACAGAAACCACTTCATTTCCAGGTAGAATTAAGCATCAACAGTTAGGAACCAGAAGCAGTCAACAGCTAAAACTGCTTCAGATACAATAATCTTTTTTTATGCACTAACATATCAAAGCACTCCCCTGGGCCTTAGTATCAGTCAAAGAAAGTACCATCCACATCTGGATGATGCATTTTAGGTTTAGAATTATCTAAATCCCCACACACAAAGTCTCCTGTTGACAAGCCTTCTTGTGAAGGCCAATCCATTGCTCAGTTAATCAAAATTCCTTCAGAATAAAGAGCTCAGAGCAAGTGAAGCTTCCAAGTCGGTTCAAGACCATTTCCCTCTCCCTCCATCACTGAGGATAAACTTTCCTGGCTTCCAGGAATTATTTATAGAAGTAAAAGCAGGCCTGGGATTTGTGACCTGTATAGACAGAGACCAACTATGGATGAACTTCTAAACAGTTTGGAGGCCAGACTGGATAAACAACCCTCCTGCTGATTATTATTCCTTTGGCTCAGGGAACTGAGACACTCTGTACAGTGAGGCAGTTCCAAGGAACAGAACAATTCTTCAGGTTATGAGCTACTCCCCCCCCCAGACATTCACACCAGACAGACAATGGATACAACCTCCAAAGGCAATTAAAAACTCTCAAAGGAGCCACTAAATGTTCTTTGCTTCAAACATGTAACTGTAGAGAACCCCAAATAACACAGTGGCAAAAGTCCATGTCATAAAGACAGCCAGGAGAGATGGGAAGGGAGGAGCCCCCCTGCCTCAGGAGCAGCCCCAGAACTCACACCAGGGCTCAGCTTTTCATCAACCCTGCTGTCAGTACAACAGGTCACCTCAGCCACTGGAAGTTATCAGGAAACCACGAAATCCCCATCCCAGCTGGAATGCCTGGAACCAGGAGATACTGCTGAGGTTACACACTGCAGAGAGTTCAGCACAATTCTGACTGAGTTCCTACACTGTGCAAGCACTTTGGCTCTCATTCCCTCCTGCCAGGACTCACCCAGTGACTGGCAATGATCTCTGCACAGTAGTTCAGGAGGGTGCTGGCACTCAGCTCCTCAGCAGTCTGGTAGAAGCGGATGCAGTTCCTGACATTAACTAGTGACATGACTCCTTTTTCACATCTGTCAAAACAGGAAAGCCAGTGGTCAGCAATCCAGCAGCTGTGCTGCAGGCACTGTCCCATCTCTCACAGGGTCCCAATCCTCCTTTTCCCAGATGCCAGCACAAAATGGCTTGGACTTGCTTTTCCATAAGGCTGAGCAGCATAAACATCCTTCAGTCAGAAGCCCTGAGAGCAGCTTCCCTAAGAGCAGACTGCCATTGGAATCCATCCAGCCAAGGCCTATGATCACACCACACTGCAGGAATCCCACTTCTCCCCAGGGCACACACTGCATTCATTCGCTGCTGTCAAGTAGGGGAGATTGTACCTTCCCAGGTCACAGGCAGGGGTTGTTCAGACTGGATACTGGGGAAATTCCTCCATGGAAAGGGTGGTCAGGCCCTGGCACAGCTGCCCAGGGCAGTGGTGGAGCCACAGCCCTGGAGGGGTTTAACAGACCTGTGGATGTGGCACTTGGGGACATGGGTCAGTGGTGGCCTTGGCAGTGCTGCATTAATGGTCAGATTTGATCTGAGAGCTCTGCTCCAGACTAAACGATCCCATTATCCTGTGATTCCATACCTACCAAGACATCTAATAATTCCCAGTGGCATCCCACACACGGGCCTGTCACTGGACCACCATGAGCAGACACCTGCTAAGCTCACAGCACAACATGAGCACAGCTTTTAGGCTGGCACTAAGCTTGGAGGCAGTTTTAGCACTAGTCTTACAGATATCAACACCTTGGGTCAGCAGATGTGACAGCAGTTTAGTCTGCTCCATGTTGGAGGCACACAAATCATGGATTATGGATGTCAGGTACTGCTACAGACACCCCTTGGGCCAAAGGTTATTCTAGCAAAGGATACTCTGACTAAACCCAAGGCTTTGAAGTGGCACAAGACTTGAGGAGGTTTCAATTTGTACATTCAGGTTTCTCACTGGCACTAAATGGTTTTTCGGAGCACTCCACATAGCCAGGATGACAATCCAGCCTCTACTAGAATCGTAACTGTAATCTCAGAATGGGAAAGCATTGCACTGTTACATTAACCTTATTTCTGAAGAAAAGTTGCCACCAAGATGCACAGAAGAGCAGTTGTTTAAATTAAAATGTCACCTATTTTAATACTGCAGGCCACCTGGCACTGACTCTTCCCAGTGTTCTCTAACAATTCCTTTCCTGCAACTCTCCAGAGCCTGGTGCTTTTCCACTGACCTCTTCTTAACATCACATTAGGGTTAATGGTTTGGCTGGGAGGGGAACTGGAAAGTAACTATATCAGCTATGAGAAAAACTGCTACAGTTTCACTGGAGAGCAGGGCTTCATTTCCCATCTCCCATCCACTGTCAGGCTGTATTAGTAAAACCTCAAGGCTTTGCAAAAGCATAATTGTAGCCAATTGCCAGCAGTTATTTCTGTTCAAACAAAGTTGAAGAGTTCAAGCAGATTCAGTGTATTTACTAAGACTCACCTTTCCCTAAGCAGCTGGAGCTGGAATTTATTAGCCAGTTTCATGAGCTCTGTCAGGAAGATATCATCTTCTCTGAGCTCCAGTTCATCTGTGTAGATCCACCTCAGCATTGCCATGGTTACCTCTGGGTCAGCATCTGCTACAGGGAGCAAGAACATTCATGAAATACCTAAAAACAACCTGCAGCTCAAGCAGTTGCTGTTCCTTTGACTGCTGAAAGTCAGAGCTGCCACGAAAAAAGCCTTGTGGAAAAGTGTACTGCTTTAGTTCAACCAAGATGGCAAAACAGGGGCAAAACTGGGCAAAGGTGAAAGTAATGGCAATGTTGGCACCAAGAGCTGGAAAAGCTTTTCCCACTGGAGCACTGTGCAGAATGCAGGGAGCCCTACAGCATCATCTCCTACCTGCTACACAAACGTTGCAGATTTAGGGGCCAGTGATGCTCCATAAAGTCCTTGGTCCCTCACAGATGGCCAAATACAAAATCCCCACTTGACAAGCACAAAGCCCCTTTCTGATTTAGGAATACTCTCTCTGGATCACAGCCTTATGCTGTGAACTCCTGCATTCCAAAGGTACTTTGTTACCCCTTGGGAATGACTCCAGAGCACTCCCAACTGCTGGGAACCTTTTCTAGGATGGGTGCAAAAGTGCCAGTTCCAGGAGCTGCTCAGATTTCAGGTGTTTCCAAGACTGCTCACAAACTGATGTTTTACACAGTGAGAAAACTCAACCCTGGGCCACAGGACACGACATAAGCCCGATGGCCAAGGACCTTTGTCACCTCCTCACAGGGGCAGTGACAACCCTTCTCACAAGGATGCAGATGACAATAACTCCAGGAAGTCCATTTACAACAAAAATACCATTTGTTTAGAAAATTAACCTTAGTCCTTTGAGCTGTTTTGTTTTCAAAATGAAAAAAAATTAAAGTTAAAAACCTTTGAGAGACTGAAATACCCATCCTAAAACATCTTTAGATCTGCAGAGCACCAGCAGTCCTTGGCATGAACAGCCTCCCAAGAATCAGGAGCTTTGAGTAAGGCAAGTATTTTTTTTGGCAAACTCGAAGCAGTCAGAAAACCTACTTGAGATGCACAATCAGCTCTGCCTTGGCAGAGGGAAGGGCGCATCTCCTCCCTCTCAACAAGAGAACATGTGTTCATCTCTGTCTACCCTTCAGAGATTACAAAACAGATCCCATGAACCCTAAAGACACTCGACTGCTGTCTGTATTTTGGAGATAAGATTCAGGCAATCTCAGCTTGCAAGTCCTTAAGAGAACCACAACAATATCCAGGGAGCAGCTTGTTGCTTGTTCCAGCTATTTCATAACCTAATCCTTGTGCCATTTCTCAAATTTTATACAAAATTCAATTTTCCAGTGGAAGGTATCATTTACCAGCGCCTCTTTTAAGCATCATTCTGTAACAGGAAGTGTTGGCACTGTTAAACATGTCAACTGCAGTTACAGTTGAGATTTTCAGCTGAGCTGTGGAGCCAGAAATGCTGTGCACTGCCACTGCTAACACCACCACAATTAACATAAGAGCTTTTTAGTGATAATTTTTGTTAGCATAGCACTCAAATTAAAAACTCCTTGGCATCTCTTTTCTTGTGGCTGCAGAAAGACCCATAAATCACATTGCAAGGAAGCCCATGCCTCATAAAACCAGCCTGCTGTGACTTGCTGCTCGTTTCCAGTTTGTCTGCACTTGGGATTCATGAGAAGATTCAGTGCAGAAAGTGAAGCCAGTGCTTAACATTCAACATGCCAGTCAGCAGCCTGCTGAACCTCATACCTGGTTTTAATGCTCATAAATTAATTGTAGAAGGCTCTTCCACGCTGTTAAGGACAGGAAAGCCTGTCAAGAGGTTCAATCTGCAGGAACACTGCCCAGGGTAAACACATGCAAGGAACAGCTCCAGCAGAACAAAACACTCACACAGGAGATGGGCTTGTAGAAACCTTCTCTTCCTCACCTGGTTTGCAAAGGTCTCAAAGTGCCAAAGCAAACACCTTTACTAACCCCAGTATCTGGATTCACTTCCCACACAGCCCATGTTAACAAGCAGCAAGGGATCCCCATGGCACACTGCAGAGAAATGATGCACACTACCTCCAAAAGCCCTGGCCTTAGAAAGGAAGGAGTAAAGTTCCTCCAAACAGATTTGTTTTTCATTATGTTTAGTTGACTCTAGAAAAGGCAAACAGGCCACCAATCTCAACCCCTGTTTGTTAAAGAGAAAGAAGGCAGGTTATTGATTTCACCAGCACTAACACCCAGGTCACAGGCTCACCACCACCTGTCAGAGACACTGAAATCCGTAATCAGCAGATCAAACACAACTCTCAGTGGACAGCACTGGTCTGGAAGGCACACAGGGAACCTTCCCCCGACAGGCCCTTTCACCAGTCACCCTAAAGGCAATCAAAGCATCCCATTCCTCAGCAGGGACTGACCTGACAGGTCCAGCTCGTCGGTGGAGGCGAGGTTGGCAAGGCTCCACGTGTCACTGCGCGCCGCCAGCACGAATTTGTGAGCTCTGATGTGCTTGTCCCCAACCTTTATCTTCAGATCACTGAGGAAAGAGCATCAACATGGATAATGCAGACTCCCCCTGTGCTTGGATACATCTCCACACGTCCTGGTATCCACATTTAGGTTCAAGTTGTTGGAGGCTTAAAACACATTCAGTTTGTTAAGCAGAACATGTCAGGTGACAATTCTTATTTTTCTAGGGAGAAATGCAATCACTCATCAGTATTTCAAGTGCTCGGTCAGGTTGGTATTTTTTGACCATTTCAGAATGAACAGCAGAAGTTATGAAGAGCCAACAATCTTGAGGTTAAATATTTATGTCACAGTGTCCATCCTAATAGTGTCAGCCAAGCACCAATGGTTTCAGGCAACACCAGCAAGAGCACAATGCTGTCTGACAGCAGGCTGAGTGCAAGGCAGAACCCCCAGCTCCCAGGGGACCAGCTGCCAAGAACACCCATTTCATCCTGACCCCTTTCCACCAGACTATTCTCTGGAGTTAGAAAATACCTGCCCTGCTCATTTGAAAGGCCCACGGCTTGCAGATGTTCTGGCTGTGTAGGTGGGCTGTGCAGACCATTTTGTGACCCAAGGCTAAAAACTACAGGACAAAACAGAGATGTTCCTGGACAAAACCTGCACTGGGACTCGCCACCTTTCTTGTTTTATGACTTGTAGGTCCTTCCAGACCAGTGTTCTGTGCTTTAAAGCTAAACAGAAATAAAGTGATGCAACTCTCCTAACATATCCTACCTGACAAATCTTTCACCCAGCAGGCTACAATGAGTTCTTGCAGGCACAGATCCTTCTCTCAGAGAGGTTCATGAAGAGATGGCAGGGCAAGGAAGTTTAACCAAAATAGATTTCCCTCTTACATGACTAAACTCCTTTACTATCTTGGCATTGCTTTCAGGAACAGCAAAGAAATTGAGAAATATCACTGTAGTTTCACAACTAAATCAACTCAGGGATCCAGAGCATTGGAGGTGATCCTTAATGTGCCTATGGAAAAGAAACCATTCAACCTAATTATGTGTTGAGATTCAAAAATACAGTATCATGTGTATCACTGCATCACACATCACTAATAAAACCAGACAAGCCAAGTCAGTCAGGCTTCTTTACAAACAAAAGGAGCACAGAACTGGCTGCAAGGACAGAGCTTTTAAAGAAAGTCAGGTTTCCAGGTATGTTGTGTAATTATTCCATCAACTAGACCAGTTCAAAGTCACTTCTGTTCAGAGGCAGCTTGGCTGTTTACAGTGACCATGGTCAGTTTTCTCTGAATTTGTCTAAAGTGTCAAGTCTTGGAGACAAAGTTCTGCTTAGAGCTGGATCCAGTGTGCCACCTGATCTTCCAACTGCAACTATTTCCCAAGCACTCCCCCTAAGCCCAGGGCCTGGAGCAGCCATGAAAATGGTCCCCGAGGGGGCTCCTCACCTGTACTGCTCCTGCTGGTAGAGCTCAGCCACGATGCCGAGCAGTCGGCTGACGAAGGTGTCGCTGGCATTGTCCTGGTTGGCCTCCACAGCCAGGAGGCTGCACCTCCTCTCCGTGTCCACCAGCTTCTTCTGCAGCTTCACGTACTCCTGGCGGAGCAGCAGCAGGTGCTTCTCCAGCTTGGCCACCTCCTCTGCAAGGCAGGCACAGCATCACCCACGCGAGGCTGAGACGTGCACAGCTCTGTTTGGTGCCTGAGGGGAGCTCACCCTCACATTACACATGGAGTTCATCACACAGCACCCCAGCAAGAGCCTCTCCCACTGTACCTGGGCATCTCACCCCCAATATTAAACCTTCTATTTCATATTGTTTCCATAAACACATCAAAAAACAAAATACAGCGATAGAAGGCACTTACAAAGGAAGTTCTGAACCCTGTTTTGTCAGGAATGCTGTAAGTGGGAACTATGGTGGGCTAGAGGACAAACTCTTGGGTTCTTACCCATTTTTTCAGGCTGGTTAAGATGTCATTTGACTTTACAGCTGAGACTTAAAACACAAGTGAGCATCAGAACAGTTGCTGAAATAGCTACTGTCAGCTAAGAAACACCTTAAAAATCTAACCAATGACTTGAAGTGGGAAAGTTCCTACAAGACTACTCCCTACCAGCCAGGAATTCATCATTCCATGACTTTCCCTCAAATATTTACCAAATGTCACTACTACAAACAATGAGGAACTGAGCTCTGTTGATCAGTGCTTTCTTCTTGCTTCTGGAGAAGTTCAACAGCACAGCTGACCTTGGCCTTGCAGACAGAACACCTCACTCAGCCTCTCCTCTCCCAGCTCTGCAGCAAATGCTCCCTCCTAAGTCTTTTAACTTAACTGGTGCAATGGATGAACAGAAAGCAACGTATTTTATTGTGTGTTTGTACTTGTATCCTCTGAAGGTACTTCCTTCAACAGCCTCTTACTCAGCTTCATCCATTCCCACTTCACAAGCATCATCTCCTTTGGGACAGCTTCCCCTTTCTACTGAAACACGCTGTGATTTCAGAATTGTGCCACCCCAACCCTCAGAGAGGGTTTGAAATCCTGCTGTGGTCAGGCCTTCCCTCTGAAGATAAACGTAGTGCTGGTGTTCTCAGAATGAGAAGGGCACATCTACCGAGCAGTGGCTTCCTGGTTGATTCAGGAGGAAGGGGTGAGGGGACACGAGTCCTGCTGTCCCAGCAGGGAAAGCAGGAGTGTGACAGGAACCCAGAGCGAAAGACACCGAGAACTGCACCAAAAATTGGGGTATGAACACCCCCACTGTCACACAGCCAGAGTTTCAGGTGCCACAGGAATTCAAGCACCAGGAATGAGCTGCCCACTGAAGCTCCCAGCACAGACAAGGGCTGCACCTCCCAGGCCAGCCCTGGGAGTGGGAAGGTGGGAATAAAAAACCAGCAGCAGAGGCGACATCTCCAACACTGCCATTCTACCAAGGTCAGCTCCCTGCCTCCAAAGCAGCCTGAATTCAACAGGGCACAAGGTAGAACTACCTCAAGACCCTAAAAAGCAGTAACTGAGGCTTTGTGCATCACTGACAATCAGGCTGCCCCCAGGGCAAGCCCAGACAATCCCTACTGGCAGTGAAAACCCCTCAAGGAACCAAAACTGTGAGAAATCCTGTTTTCAGGTTGACAGCACGTTCTTCCTGCAGCCTCTCTGAGAAGGACTGAGAGGTATTTGCTTACTTAACAATCACAAGAGCTGTAAAATAAGAGCTTCTGTTATTCTACATGACAACCTGCACACCTGTTGTGTAGTGGCCACACTTGAGGACAATATTTGATCTCAGAGCACGTTTCAAGTGCACGTTCAAGACAGATCTCAACATCCAGTTAATCAACACTCACTGGAAAGAGCAAAAGCCTCAAGTTTTCCCTGCATTTTGTTCACTTGACGGGTGAACAAGCCGAATGCACAGTTACTGCAGGCACACACCCCTCTAATGAAGATCTCTGCCTCAGCACACTGGAGGGCCAGACTCAGGAAGACACCAGTAAAGTCTCTGGCTAACCATCAACCAAAGGACTCTGAGAGTCCTTTTGAGAGCAACTGGATGGTGGAATGCAAAGAGATAAGCAGGGAGGCAACAGGCAATGGGGAGACAGATAGCACATCCCAAAAACTACAGGGAGGGTCTAGTGGAAGCTTATATTGCAGAAACTAGTAGAACTGGTAAATTCCAAGTGCTTTTCCAAATCCCATCAGAGTAAATGAATTCGGATGGTGTCAATGACACCCTTCCAGCACAGCAGCAGCACTGCAGGAGCCCTGCAGGGCTCACCAGAGCCTGACAGAAGGACCCATCACACTGCCCACCCCACCCATCATAAAGCACTCCCAGAGGCAATAAAGACAAACTTTTGTTTGCTTATGAAGCGGAACCGAGTGAAATACTTCAGAATAATAAATTATTTCCTTACCCCCTCGAGTCAGGTCCTTCCTCCACTGCTCCACACCCTGAGCCTCAGCCCCCCCAAGGCTGCACAAGCCGCTGCTTTCTTGTTCTGCCTCGTTTTTGCCCGCTTTTGATCTTCACCCTGACTGACACCACCCCAAAGCTGCCCAGCAAACTCCCTGCTGCTTGACATTCAAGCCTTAACCCAACACTTTTCACCCACACCTGCATGTAAGCTGCATGCAGACCTTTGGTATTCGTGGTACAGAACTCACAGGAACCACAAATGCTCAGCCCTTGTCCTTATGAACCGTTCAGTTTGTAGGCAGGAACTGCAGCAAATCTAATTCAGGACTTTTGTACACAAAGGCAACACCTCCTTAAGAGAAAGCACCGGGTTCTGAGCAGATGAGTAGTTTGACAAGCTCCCTTCCTCAACAAGCAGTCACTTTCCAGCTCTCTAATGCCATCAGTTCTTAACTAGAAAAATGTTCCTGCACCTAATTACCTCGTCTGAAGGAACCACATGAGCCTCCCTGCCAAGATACCCTATGGAACCAAGTGAGGAGAGCTACAACTCCAGCTCATTCCTGTTCATGCAGGACCATTCACTGCCCACATCCTTTCTTCAGCCAAAAGATCAGAGAATTACCGAGAAGACTCTCTGAGCAGCACAGGTGTCTGCACCAGGGCTTGCACCAACTGCAGGCTGATTCTGCAGAGCAGGACCCTGAGCCAGAGCCTCAGATCCCTGAGGGTCTCAGTGGGGGAAGCTTCAGCACCTGAAGCCAACCTGGACATCTGAAGCCCCCCAGAACTGGTCACCAAGGCTCAAATGCAAGCCTAAGAGGCTGCTCAGCTAGACATGGAGCTGTGGTATTCCAGCACTCAGGAAGTTTGGAGTTGCTCTAAGGATTTATCAAACCAGCCTGACCACAGCATCCGCTCAGCTGATCCATGACAGAGAGCAGCATCTGCTACATCCCAGGCCATCTTCCACAAGTGGTCCTGCGATTCCACCACTGTCTCAGAGCCGCCCTTCAGGAGCTGAAGGCTGTGCCTTGGAGACTGGAAGCTCATTTCCTTTGTAACTCGTGGCATTTTAGCTGAGTTTGCCGACTCAGTTCCCTCCGAGGAGAAAAAGAGGAACCTCGTCTTGCAGAAACGAGTAGAACTGTAAAAATCCAAGCGCTTTTTTCCGACTCCCGTTAGACTGAACTGATGTGAACGGTGTCACAGGCACCTTTCAGGCAAAGCAGCGGCACTCCGGGAGCTCTGCAGACCTCCCCAGAGCCTGACAAAAGGGCTGGGGCACAGGTGACCGGGAGGCTGCAGCACAGCCCCGGCAGCTCCATGGAAAGCCGGCCAGGATGAGCCCCCCGGGCCGGGCGGCCCCGCCCGCGGCCCCGCCAGACCCACTGCCCGCGGGGAGGGCTCGGCGGGACGTCCCAGCGAGCTCCCCCCGCCCGCAGCACCCCGGAGCCTCAGCGTCCCCACACCATCCCCACACCCTGCCTCCTGAGGGACGAAGCCGCCCGCGCCCAGCCCGCCCCGGGGGTGCCCGCCCGCAGCCCCCCGCCACCTCTCGCTCGCCTCCGGGGCAGCCCGTCCCCCCCCGCCGCGGGCAGGGCGAGCCCGCCCCGGGCCGGGGAGCGGCGGGGGCCACACTTGGGGCAGCCCCGGGAGCGGCGGAGCCCCCGCGGCCCCGGCCCCGCCCGGCCCCTCTCCCGGGCTCCCCCCCTCACCTTCCGCCATGTTGGGTCCGGCGCCGCAGCTCTCGCGAGAGCGCCGGGCTTTGGCGGCGGGGCGGGCGGCGGCTCTCGCGAGGGCAGCGCGCGCCACGGCCGCGCCCCCCACACGGCGGGGCCGGGACGGAGCCGGGACAGAGCCGTGCCCTCCGCGTTATCCCGGCTTATCCCCCCTCAACACCCTTTTCCCGCCTCAGCCCGCCTTTTCCCGCGGCTCCTCCCGCTCCGCAGCCGGGACCGGCCTCCGGGAGCCAGCCCCGCCCCGCAGCGGCGAGAAGCACCGTGCGCTTCCCCGTGGCTGAGGCGCCCGGCGGTGCCGGGGATGCCGTGAGGGCGGGGAAGGGACCGCGCCGGCCGGCAGGGCTGGGAGCGCCGGGAAACCGCCCAGCCCCGGGGGAACGCAGCTGGGCATCACCTCCGCATCACCCCGGCTCCACCGGCAACGCCGCCTGCGCCGCTTTCATCCCAAAAAACACTTGCTGCTGCTCACCCGGGACCAGCGCAGCTCGCAGCCATCGCTCCTGTCATCGGCACTTCCAGAGAGTTCCTGCTTTTCTTTCGGAGCCAGCAGTCCTGGACACTGGAGCTGTGCCCCTGGACACTGAATTTGTGCCCCCTGCATACTGGATTTATCCCTGGACACTGGATTTGTGCCCCTGGACACTGGAGCTGTGCCCGGTGGGTGAAAAGTGGTTTTGAGAGTGGACAGCAATGACCAAGGTACCAGGATCACTTTCCCAGCACAGCTGCCCTCGGCTGTTCTCGTGGCTCATCATCTCTTCTGCTTACCTGGATCAGAAGATGCCAAGATTATTTTTTTTTTACCTGCCCTGAAGAGCAAATTACAATTAAACATTTGAAGATGTTATGCACAGTATTGTTTTATAGACATCATTTTCTCTGGACTCCACCATGAAGGGACCTTTGAGGAGCTACTCTGCATCGCGTTGGTTTTCTGTGCCAGCAAAACCAGAACTGGGCCCAGGAGAGCCACAGACGGTGGATTTCTGGACATACCACAGAACAACCCATCTCATTTTGCACAGCCTGATGACAGCTGTGTATGGCCGTGCAGGTTATTACACCACTGCTTCTGGTGCCATTGATCATTCTGAGGAACTGGAACGGCTATTGCTGCCTGATCAGATTTTGGTTTAATTTCTCGGTAACAACAGAGATCAGATTTCAAACTACTGCCATGTTTTGCATCAGGGAAATCAGCCATCTCCTCTGAGGATCTGCCTGGGCAGGAAGGTGTCGTGTGACAGTCTCTGTTTAAACCCCAAACAGCCTCTGGTTTGGTTTGAAATCACCGCTGCTGCTTCTGAAGAGAGGCAGGAGGAGACTCGTGGTGCTGCTCTGTGTGCAGGGATGGCACCGACCCAAGAGCAGGGCACCAGATGGTACAGACACAGCAGAGTCCACCCCCCACCGACCTCCCAAACCCAAAATACACTTCTAATCACTTCAGAATTCGTGTCCTCCCTTTACTGATTGCCCAGTGTTTTCTAGGCATCGCAGCAGGAGGGCATTTCAGCCCAACAGCTCAACAGCCCTTCTGATTTAGAGATCTCCTCTGATGCATAAGGGGCAGCATAGAGGAATATAAAAAAGGAATTAGGGTGGCCCTATTACTCTGATATTTATTAATATTTGATGCTTCTCCTTTTCCCCCAGTGATGCAGAGTTACCTGGAACAGAGACCACCGTGCTGGGGGGAAAAATCAGCTCAGAGGCTCAGCCATGATGAGGAGCCCCCCGAGAACCAGCAGAGAACTGAGCACCCAGGATGGACACACACCACAGGCTGGACCATCCAAACCAGATAGGAACTCTTGGGGCAAGTGAAACCATGGAATGCTGGTTTACCTGCTTGTTCCCCAGGTATCCTCACATTCTGTGTCCACATTGCAGCTCCTCAGGGGTGTTCCCATCTGGTGGGGCAGTAACAGTCACAGCTTGTGCCCCTTTAGTGGGGGGCAGGAATAAACCAAAAAGCCAACGGTGATCACAGCAAAGTGAAACAGGCCCTTTCCAGCCCTGCCACAGCATTCCTGCAACCTGGACACTTGGCAGCAGCCCCTGAGCTGCCTCGTTCCTTTAGTCATCAGCCATCCCTGCAGCTTGGACATCCTGACAGTGTCCCACAGGAACGTTCCTTTGGAATATCTGGGTCACGGGGAATCACAGACATGTATGTGAATAATTTACGAAGAGGGGAATGAATTCCAGTGCTGTGGAATTCCCAGCTCTTCCACAGCACTGCTGCAACACTAACATTTCCAGCCCTACCCCCTAAAGAACAAACGGGCAGCAGTTCTGGAGAGCAAACAGAAATAAAGCTTTAAAGTGTTTTGTGGAGTCACAGGTGAGTGTGTGGTGAACTCTGTTGACCTTGCTGAAAGCAGGAATTACCTTGAATTGCTCTCAGCTGCAGATACACTGGGGAAAGGGAAGGGCAACCTGTAGGGGAAGAAATCCATTGCCAGGTGTAGGAAGAGCAGGTTCTTCCCAGTGTTCTGTTTGTGGGAAGAGTGGCACCATGCCACTGAAATTCTGCACAGTCCCAGCTCTTAAAGTGGAAAACAAACCTGTTCTCAAGCCATTTTGGCCAAGTGCTCAAACAGGAATTCAGATCAGCTGAGGTGTCTGGGCACCAGTAGCTCTGCAGTGCTGCACACACAGGAGCAGGCTAGGCAATTAATAGCAAGTTTAACTAATGATTTCACAACATCATTCGTTCCCAAATATGTAAATGTGGATATTAAAAACATATCTATGTTTATCTAAACCACCCGTAGGAGGAAGTCATACCTTTCCTTGTAAATCCTTACTCTAAATGGCTTTTTTTGTCCTTTTTCCCCCCCAACAAGTGTCACCTCACCCTCCACCCCAGCCCACCCCTCACAAAACCTGGAACATGTGCCTTTCAGCACATGCATCTCGCCCAGCAACGTGAAATGAAAGTCCAGGACTGAAGGCTTCTTACAAGCTGCCTCTGCCACTGGAACTCTTGATTTATTGGCGGGTTATGCTGGTCTGCGAAAAGAAAACAGTCAAGTAGTTTCAAGTTTTCCCTACATAAAAGTTCCCTTGGTCAAAAGGCCTGGAGAACTCTTGCCACTCTGAGATTAGTATTTGCTCACCAGAGGGCCAGAGATGGTTACAAGGGGGAGAGAGGTGTGTTTCGTTTGCTCTTTCATTATTGAAGGTGAAGCACAGCATGTCAGACTCCTCAAGTGTTTGCTGGTGCTGAAGATGTTCAGGTAAGGTGGGCTCCAACTGCAAGTACCTTTCCTATTTCCACACTCAAGACAGCCAGTTTGACACGTTCTTATTGGAAAAAATTATATTTTGGAAGAACTCACTACAGGTGACAGAATTCCAAAAATCAAATTACATGAAAATATACATCGTAATTTTCTTTGTACATCAGGGGAGGGAAACCTCTGGAGTAGAAGGCAAAGCAGATGAAGGGCCACAGAAGAGAGTAAAGGAAGGAGGGAAACTATTTTTGAGAGCAAACCCAGAAGTTAGTCATTTGAAAGCCTACAGATGTGCATGCTGGAAACTCAACCTTGAGAAAATAACAAGCCTCCCCCTCCCCCCAATCACACACACACACCCCCCCACCCCACAAACAGGCAATGAAAAAAAGGCAAACCCCCAAATTTCACCCCTAAAAAGCAGCTCCTTCCTATCCTGGACTAACTTAGTCAACTGAACTTCCAAGGGCAAGCACTCAAGTCCTTGGAAGTTTAAAATCCCTCAGGCTGCTCAAGGGTGCTCCATGGCCACTTTTATTGCTATACCCAATTCAAGGAGGAGGAGTAATTGGGTTTAAAAAAGGGGTGGGAAGGAAAAAAATATAATATTAATAATAATAAAGCACCTTTGAGACTACAAAGGTCATCATAAAAGAAGACACAAGTAATTGATAGCAAATCCTTTCAGGGTTTAATTAGGAAAATTTTAAAAGTTCTGATGGGGGAAATAAAAGGGAGCACATTTTCAAAAACAAACCAAAAAAAAAAAAAAAAAAAAAAAAAAAAAAAAAAAAAAAAAAAAAAAAAAAAAAAAAAAAAAAAAAAAAAAAAAAAAAAAAAGAGATACTAAACTTTAATAAGCAAGAAATTTTAATTAAGCCTCAGTGGGTCAAAGGAAAATTAAAGTGGGAGGGGAAAAAAAAAAAGAAAGAAAAAAAAACCAAAACCAAAAAAAACAACTTTATCCTAATTGTTTTCAGTTTGACATGCTTCACAAGTTGTTGTTTGGTTGGTTGGTTGTTTTTTTTTTTAAACTCATAGGAAACAATGAATAGGGAGAGAAAAAAACCTGCTAAAATCTTTAGAATTTACACAATTCTATTCCTACCTACTGACAGCATTATTTGGTACAATGTGTATTTGTGGATGTACATGAACAGTATATATATTATCCGGATCATGTTGTGCTATGTACACATCTTTACAATTCTTCCTGAAGGTTAAAGCAGTTCATTAGATTTTCAAAATGCGTAATCATCTTGTGTTGGCACTTGTTAGGCTCTTGTCAGCATTGATAACTGGCATGTTTTATTGCAGCCCAGTTCCAGCCAGTGTTTGCCAACTTGTAACAACAGAAGTCCAGCAATAGGTGGGTAGAGTGCAGGAAAAAAAACAGTGCCATGTTTCTCAATTGGAGACCTGCAAAGAGAGCACAGGGGTTAAAATGAAACCTCTCATCGCCCTCAGTTGTTGTCACTATGTTAATTACCGTTCCAAGCTCAAGAAGGTAACTGTTACTTGTTTGAGGACTTGACATACCTCTGTGCAGATGGACAAATCCACACTCATCACCTGAGAAAGACTGCAGTTAGTTCAGCACACTGATTATCCAAGCTCAGCTAGCACCTTCAGGCTCCTGTTCATGCTGCTTGTCAAGGGCAGGGTGAGCAAAGGTCGATTATTCACCCCAGGGCTGAGCAGTGCAGGTTTCTCACTCACAGGTCTGTGCAGCGCTGGCTGTGGCTGCTGGGGCCAAACTGGCACCAAACTGGCACCACAGCCCCCAGCCAGGCTGCCCTGGGCTGAAAGCAGCTGCAATGGCCACCTTCTTGTCCAGCTCCCTGCCCATCCCTCACTTGGGAGGAGTCCCCAGGACTCAGAAAAAGCTTTTTGCCTTCCAAAAAAGCAACACAGCATTACTTAAAATATTTGTCACGAGCATTGTTTGCCCATGGCCAAGTTCAACATGGCAACGGGGCCGAGGTTAGCTAAGGATACTCTGCAGTGTTACTCACAGTTACTCCCTTTCTCCAAGACAGGAAAAAAAAAGTCAGCTGCTTTACCAGTTCTTACACTCCAGTTACAGGCAGTTGTACAAGACATTCCGTTCCTTTGCTTAGTCTTTTGATCAATATTGAGCATTTTTCATGCTTTATCTACGCTGGAGAAAGTTCCATCAAAGCATTTCTGCAGAGAAGAGATCCTGCAGTACCAGTTTGTCACAGCTGGAGCCTTCCCCCCACCCCCAGCCCCTCAGTGCTTCCAAAAGGGTAAGAAAGGAACTCTCTCCTGTACAACCATGGTGGAAAAAAAAAAACCCACCCAACTAACTAGCAGAAGAATTCAGAAAGCTCTCCTGGTTTTTCAGTCAGACTACACACAGTGCCATATTTCTGCCCCTGTGAGTTATACATGCTGCAGAGAACCAGTGAATGTGCATTTGGGCTTCTCCAGCCAAATTTCATTTGCCAAACCAACCATTAAGAAGAGGCAGCTTCACCACGAAGCTCTGTTTGGCTTTGAAAAGCAGGAGTGGGAAATTATTAGCTCATGGAGGAAGTTTTCCCTTGGCATACCACAGATAAAGTGACCAAAGGCCAGGGATTTAAGGCCATGTTTTAATACAGAGCTTTCTACAAGAGGTCATTAAAAGTCCCATTAAAACTGAGATGTGGTTGTGCAAATTTGAGTAAGTATCTTGAGTCAGAAGCTCTTTAACAGGGTGGCATAAAATACAAATATCACATCAGCTGCTCTCAGGTCATAACTTGTCCAGGCCCTCAGAAGCAGCACAGTGCAGTTTCCAAGCAGAGCACAGCTGTTTGTCTGAAGCTATTCCCAAGCCTTCCTCAGCAAATTTTCAAGTTCTGATGGCTCTGTTGGGGTTTCTTTGGCTGCTGAAAAGAACATCACCTTCCCTGATATTACTGAGGGTTAACATCTCAGCTCAATCCTCTCTGATGTGCCAGCAGACTGGGCACTAAACTTCCCGTAGATACCTGGAGCAAACCCTCCTGAATGGCTCCCAGCAACCACACTGAAGGCTTATTTAAACCCTGCATGCAACATGCAAGACAAACTGCAACTCCTGAGACAGCAAGGACTTTTAAGATGCTTTTAGAAGATTCTAGCAAGTGTTCTTCACAATAATGAACATGAGAGAAATTATTCCCCCCTTCTATTACAGCTCCAGCAACCTCTGAGCACACTTAATAAAGCAGGATGAGTTCTGATGAAGAGTTCAGCTGCTGAACAGCATGAAGTGCAAGAGCACAAGAGAAGGTCCCCAAATTTAGCAGAAGTCAACAGCCCTCAGCACCGCACACAGCCCAAGAGCTCCACTGAGACCATGCAGCTGAGAAGAAAGGGTTGGGGTTTGCTTTGGGGGGGAAAAGGGGGGAAATGGTTCAGCAACACTCAGGCAGATAATCCTCGACTCAGGGAGCTGACTGGGCTTGGCTTGAGAAGGATACTTACCCTGAAAAAAGTGAAGCTACTAGCTGCTGAATAAGTGTCACTCAAAAGCAGTTTCTTGGCTTTTTCTTACACAGCGGGCAACTTTTCTTTTAAATTCTCCATTTCTGTCTTCTCTCCATTCTTTCTGTAATTGAATAGACAGCTTTCAGATGTCAGTGCCACAACAACGCACGAGTTCTAGGAAGATTCTTGGGGTTTTATGCTTTCAGACATTGGCCAGCTAGTCAACACCTACACTTGCTTACAATCACTGAACACCTGGGATACTCAGGATTTTCGAAGCTTGCTCTGGGTGCTCACAAGACAGCGAGGATGGAGCTTTTTCCTCTTGAATTTCACACATTCTCCAAGACTCCAACTGGTGGCTGCACTAAAATCTATTTACTTCAGCCTGCAAAGCAGCAGCAAACTCAACCTGTGGGCCACGAGCTGTTGTTATGGGCTAGAGATAATGACTTTAACTGCAGTGGTGAAAAGGGTTACTGTGGAGCCCGTAGTTAACTCTGGGATTTTCTTCCTTTTAGGACAGTTTTAACTCCCTGTCAGTCTAGCCAGAACACTGCAGGACAGAAATACACAAGTCACAGAGCTCAGAAGAGGCCCAGCAGTGTCCTTAGGAAGCAAACCCCCCCTGGGCAGATAGGGCTGCAAGATCCTGGCTGGGTGAGAAAGACCCGAACAGAGCACTCAGCTCCCCCCCTGCTGCTCTCTGGGACCGGGGGCTGATGTCAGAGCAAAGAGAAAGATGGACAGGAAGAGAGGGAAGAGGCAGGTCTGATCCAGAGATGCACACACACATCAAGGTGTCACTAAAACCTCCAGCAGCAAGTGCAGCCATTTTTTATTTTTATTTTGTGCCAGGCTCAGGATGAGCTCAGAGGAAAGCACAGGAGCCTCAGGGGTGGTTAAGACTGACATGCTGGGCACTGCCCCCCAGCCAGGAGGGGGGGCAAAATACCAAGAACCCCTTTTCCCATCGAGTGCCACAGTTCTCTGTCTCTACTATAAGCAATATATTCTTACTGCAGGGGTGAGGGAAGGGGTCAAACCCCCCACGCTGTTTTGCCTGATGCAACACACACCACCTTTTCATCCCCTGCTTGGAATGAGAAAAAAAATGAGGATGACTGGCATATCTTACCACATTTATCAACTCCAAGCTCACTTAGCCAATAATCACACTGGAAAAGCCCAGCACATCTCAGCTTTGCAAGCACAAATAAGGCTACTAATTAATTTGTTCTTTTTCAGCAATTCATGCAGCAAGCATTTGGTTCCTTGGCCTGGGACACAGGACAGCTCACACAAGGTGGCTTAAGGCCAACAAAAGCTTTGAATTGGTGCCCTCAGAGCCTCAGTTTTTGTTTCTACTTTTGATATCTGTAGTTCTGTGAAGTAAAGTGCTCCGACTTGAACAGCAAGTGAAGTTTCCAATTTGACAGCTACATCTCTAAAAATGTTCTATTGGGTCATGACCTGTTCTGTTTGCTTTTCAAAGTATCTGTTCAGGTTCCCGTTCCTCACTTTTCTCCCACTCCAAGACACTCCAACATGCACAGTTCCTTTTCCCAGGAGGCAGGGACATCCCCTGCTCCTGAAATGCCCTGAGCTGCCTCTCTAACACCTTCTTCTCCAGACTCATTTCAAACTAGAAATTAATCACAGCAGACAAAAGTATCTTTTAGTAACTGCCAAATTTTATTGCTGCATCAAACACAGGAGCTGCTGATTCTTCATTACCCTGATGAGTATGTTCTGGTTCATCTACAATCCAGCAGCAGAGGCCAAGCTGCTCAAGCAGCACATTAGAAGTTCCTTGAAACATCTCACACCACAGGCAGAAAACCAGTTTCTAACATTCAGTGATGCCTCACTACTGTCTTCACAGTCAAGAGTTGGATTTGCGTCCTTTCAAGCTGGGCTAGAAAACGCTGTTTTCATTTTCAACCTCTGCCCTAAGGTTTAGGTAAAACCAATTCATAGTTTTGTATCTAACTTCTCTGAGGAAAAAAGAAAAAAAAAATTACAGAAGAAGTCACTCCTGAAATAGTTGCCAGAGTGGGGCACAGTAAAAAAGCTTGTGATGTCAGGAAGGTAACAAGGACAGCTAAAAACACCTGACTGGTCCAGGGTTAGGGCAGCTACATTCAACATTCATCAGTTTGGGAACTGAGGGATTCTGATTGCACTTGCAGCATTTCATTAACAACTTGCTCCTCCCAGTGCTCTCGGGTTTGCCAGCACAAAATGTCCATGTCTCCTGGGTCTCTGTTTCCACCACTAACGTGACACAACCAGGGGAGACACTACTCAAAAAATGCTAAATGAGGAAACTGTTCACTACAACTTCGTGTTTGTTTTCTGTTTTCTCCCCACTGAATTTGTTCCACGTGAGTCTGTTCCCAGGATGATTTTTCAGCAGAGCTCAACCACCTCTGGAAACACAACATGGCAGATCAGAGGCTCCAGGAAACTCCCAAACTCCCACCCACTCTGGGAAGGTCCAGCTGGCTCGACAGAGCAGGTTAACATTCCTCTAGGAAACTCTGCACCTTCCAACCCCCAGCTCCCTTTTCCTCACTCCTACAGGGCCTAAAACTTCTCTCTGGAGAGAGGACAGTGCTCATTAATCACTGCTGAACTGCAGTGTGAGAGTGATTCCAAGGAAAGCACGTTGGGATGATTGGGGCCTGCAGTCTGTTTTCCTTACACCTTCCCAGCACTGAGACTTTCCCCCCGCCTCCTCCCCACCACCTTTATCAGCCCAGTTGTTATTCTGCTGTGAAGGCAGCTCTTCTGGAGAGCTGATAGGTGTGTTCATACAGCTCTAACTGTGCTGCATCAGACACCTGCACCTCACCCCTGCAGCTTCACCCCAGCTTCTGACTGGAAATCAGACCATCCTCCTCACTCTCAGCCAGTCTGCAGGGGACAACCCTTCCTCCAGAGTGGAAGGCCAGATGCCCAACGAAGCTTTCAAGCACATTCTCAGAACTCCCCACTCCAACCTACTGCTCTGATGATCCATGAGGCAGGAAAAGTGATGTGGAGAGGTGCAGGGCTAACTGTTTGACATCATTTCCCAACAAAAAGATAACCCCAGTCTGCCATATAAAAAAATTTATTCCCAAGTCACTGTTTACCAAACTAGAAACAAAGCTCCACTTGCAAGGTTTCCACACCAGGGCCATCTGCAGCCCGAGCAAAGCCTTACCGCTGCGTCAACGTTAGCAGGAGAATCACCATTGGGATCTGCCAGCATAGAAATAACACTAATCATGATAGTTTCCACCGTGTGAATGGGGAGCCAGCGTTCCTCGGGTTTCTCATAGCCATATTTGTCTTCCCCGGGCTCGTGGAGGATTGAAATGCAGACATCGCCGTTCTTGTCAACTGCAAAACACAACAGGGCATATTTCAGTGGTGAACAACAGCCTGGCACCCCTTCAGGGGTCAGGGAACTGCTCCTCCTCACCCCAGCCACTCTCAGACACTTCAGAAGACAGGACAGTCATTAACTGTTGCAGGGCTGGGGGGAGCTCTGAGGATCCCTGGGCTGGGGGCAGAGAGAGCTCAGTTCTAACCACGCTGCAATTCCACAGCCATTAATTTCCACAGGCTCCCACCCCAGCCTTTTCTGTGAGGTTCAAACTACAGAGTGACCTTTTTTTTTTCCCCCCAGCAACAGCATCATGCAGATAGCCCTGGAACATATTGGAATATGATTTAAACTGCTGGAATTAGAAAGTGCCTGACGAGTACTCTGGTATTTCCAGAGCTGAAACTGCCACAGCATCAAAATATCCCCCGTCCCTCACGATGGGAACATTGTGCTGCTCTCCTCCCAGTTTTCAACATCTACAGTTTCTGAGGCTGAAGAGCATTTCTCCTTCCCACTAAAACCATCTCTCATTTTATTTTACCTTTCCATCTACATCCAGCAGTCCACAGGTAAGGGAAACATTAGGAGGGGTCTCCTCTGGAGGGACTAAAAGATGCTGTGATTTCCTTTCATGCTTCCCCAGAGGAGGGACAACCTTGGGCCCTCCAGAGTGAACTGCCAAGTCAGCAATACCAAGATGAAATATTTGAGGGTATAACAAAGGGCAGCTACAGAAGTCAAGCTTCTCCTCAGACCCAGAATTTTGCACTCAGGAAAAAAATTAAGGGGGGAAAAAAATAAAAATCCCTGAACAGTTACCAAGAATGCAAGAAGCTGCTCTCAACAGCTTCTGAAAATACTTTAGGAGTATTTTATACTCTCAGAGCAGCCCTATTAAAAAATCTGCCATGGTTATTACTTCTTTTTTAAGTGAAGATGGCAAAGTAAAAGCAGAGTTTCATATTTCTAACAAGAACAGAAATGTACCCATTTGTCTTCTCTGCATTTTAGTCCTAAACTGCAAAAAGAAATTGAAACTTTGACATTTCTTACCATTTGGATGCCAGATTTCTGTGATGAATTTCATTTTTGGCGGCCTCAGTGGGTAGTCTTTTGGAAAAGTAAGATGAGCCTTGAAAACACCACCTTCACTGGGGAATCAAAAATATCTTAGTAGAGTTTCTTGTAAGCTGAAGATTGGAACTTAGTGATGTATCAAAAGCTCTGAGTTTACCCCTCACACAAGTGAACATGTTGGTATTTAACAGCACCAACACTTCCATGTGCAAAGAGTTTCTAGACTGAGAAGATCCTTTCACAGGATCCTGCCAGTTCCCCAACACTATCTTTTTTAGAACTAGGGATGATGTTCCAGAGGGGAAAAACCACCCAAAACCATCACAAAACTGCCAAGGAATTCACCATCTGGAATCGCAGCTTACATTTTTCCACCCAGTACATTTATTAACAAGGGAAAAAAAAAAAATATTGCCAATAACTGCCCTTCTCAAGCTCAGCCCAGCTGACACTCATTTTCTCCCTTCAGAGAGCTAATTTTGGGGTATCAGCCCGCAGCAGTGAGCCCCAGGGAAAAACTACTGAAAGCTTTGGAGCTGTGTCCACTGCATTAAATGGGAAAAAAAAATTCCAGTGCCACCTTTTCCACACTGAGCTAAAGGGACTCAGACATGACAGGGAGGTGTTCTGCATTGCAGTTACCCACTCAACTGGAAAACAACAATAAACAAGAGGACATCCAGTTTTTTATGTGGATTTACAGGCCAGGAACAGCCCCTTTTGAAAAGTGTGAGGGCTTGTTTTGAGGTGGAAAGCTTTGCAGATGGAACGCTTTGCTAACGTGACCACTACAGCAGCGTTTGCCCCGGTCCTGTCATCTCTTGTAATTAAAGTTTGCAACAGGATTTGAAATTGCAAAGGCAGGGGTGACAAAAAGCGGGCCATAAACCTGCCAAGAAGGTGGCACAGGATGTGCAGGGTGGCTGACAAGCTGCTCCTCAGCAGCCAAAAAACAACTGGTGTGGAAAACTGTTCGGTGCACGTTTTGTTTCCTGGATTTATAAAGCAGTAAGAGCCAGCCCCCAAAGCCCACAGGCTGCTGGGAGAGGAACAGCTTTTACCACCACCAACCAAAGATGTGCAATTCTAGCAAGTGTCTCAAAAAGGGAAAAAAAAAAAAAAAGTCCCAAAAATCACTGGATCTGAGTGGCTTGGCCCTTGAAGCAGCTGAGGGGGATCTGAACCCACAGCAGGCGTTTTTCACAGGTTTTAGAAAAGGCAGGCAGTCAAAGAATCCCTCATCCTGGGAAGGGTAAGAATTCCAGAAACCTGGGCTATTTTAACATCTATAACAGTCCAGACTGTGATAGTGTGTTAGATTACATTTGTTGATAGCCCCAATATAAAGTTAAATGCTTTCTTTCAAAGTGAAAAGGTCCTTCTTTCCCTTTCTAAAGAAGCAGGTCCTAAAACTGCAGGGCAGCCCTGGTTGCCACATATCAACTGCAGATAAATACAGCTCTTCAACTGGATACCCATTGGAAATCAGTTAATGAAGTACAGCTGTCAATTAAGGGAGATCAGTGCCACTTCTAACAACATTCCTGATAAAGGGGTTTCTGTCAGCAGAGTAGTGCACTGAGTCTAAAGTCTTTGAAAGTAAACTCAGAATAAATGAAGTGGGAGCAGGAATGAGACTAAAGTTTGAGCACTGGGGAAGTGGGACTGTTATGTTCCACTGTCCTCACCACACAGCCCAGGCAGGAGGGATTCAGTCTAATACTACCCTAAAAAACAGCAGCTGGGGACTGGAATAGAAGAGAGCTTCTTATCTAAAAAGCCTCAAAAAAAGCTCAGGACTCATGAAGTGGGGAAAAAAACACAGTATTGCAATTTTTAGCCCATAAGATGATGTTGAGTTAGAAGCAGCATTTCTTTACTGACAGTATTTATAAAACGGCCACGAGAATGTAACAGCACCACTCCAAGACTGTTCAGAAAAGGTCAAGAGAAGCTGGAGAAATGATCTCATGCAAGATGTGAGAATCACAGTGTAATAAGCTTGAGGAAAAGCAAAGCAGCTTGATTACTGGGCTGAGGTATTTATTCAGAAGGCTGAAGACACCAGATATACAACTTCATGCTGGGACCAAAAGTGACCTCAAGTAAATGTCACTGGGCTTTTTGTATCACTAATTTACCACTGCAACAGCTTAATGAAGGAGAACAGAGTTCATCTTCGAGAGTTCACTTTAAGCTGACCTCTCCTCGGTAGATGATCACCCTGAAGTACCCCAGGTCTCAGCTGGAAGTTCTCCCATCTCCAACTGACAGCACTTGAGGCTCTCTGGACTCTGCAGTTCCCCCAGCTCCATCAGCTGCAGTACTGCCTGCCCTGCATCACCAGCACCAAGCTGCAATGACCTCACACTGCACTGTCAGCTGAGCTACAGCCTCCCTGCACAGACAGCACAGTGCACTTTACCTGCCTTGCTCACATGGGAAAGGAAACAGAAGCTGCCTCTAAGGACACCTGTTCTTTCTCTTTTATACAACAGGAACAAAGGGATCAGTGTTGCCTCTTCCCAGGGCAGCAAAACACTTTAGAACTTGTCCAGAGCAAACCCAGCTATTTACAGAACACCAAGGTCTGGGTTAACTTCTACTCACTTAGACCAAACTAGGACTGGTAAAGCCGAGTTCACTCAAGTTTCTATAAAGAATCAGTACTTACTATAGTGTATCTGGAGGGCCAATAATGAGGACTTCCCATCGGTACAGATCGTTATCATCTATCAAGCCCGCTGAAAATCCTTCCACTGGATTTTTGTTGAGCTCTGTGTAGGAAAAAGAAAGTTCAGAGTAACTTTAGGTGTCTGTGACGTGCATTTGCTGGTTTTGCTCGTGCCTCTGCAGGTGACCCAAAAACCCCGGGATATTTGGCACTTGTGGCCTGGGGGAGCTCCCTCAGCTCCATCCACACACACCCCCCAGAACTATCCAAGCAGGAGCAGAAGGGCCAGAGCAACTCACATGGTCTCCTAAACCACATCCCAACAAGTGTTTAAGCCAAGAAGCAGGTTTTCTACTAATAAAAAAGCCACACTGTAAGAACCCCGAAGAGCCAACCAAAGTCTGTCTTTAACTGCACAAAATGTTAACAGAAGACCAAAGTCACGCTGTGTTGCTTTTATTTAAAAGTAACATCCTACTTTCCTTAAATGATTTTTTTTTCCAGAATCAGAAAGCATCTGAGACCCGTGCCAGTGAATCCTGGAGATAATTATTTACTACACTCTGAACTACCAGAAGAGAACACAGAAGATAAGCTGTTTTGCTGTTCAACGTTTGTGGGGGGGTTGTTTTTCCTTTTGTTTCCCAGTTTTATCCCCTAGGGATAAGCAGGACAGGATTCTGAGTGCAAAGACAACTGCCAGACAGAGGCTTCTCTGGAAACAGCCATGCAGAGGTCACACCTAGATGGAGACTCCACTGCCTGCTCCAGGAAAAAAAACATCAGATTTGGAATGAAACACCTCAAAGGAGTTCTGCCTAAAATCCAGCTAGGGTGGGGAGAACATCTGTTCACTGACAGCTTCAGGTAAAAAAAGTACTTTAAATGCCAAAGTGAAATTCTTCAGGCAGCATTTGCAACAGTCCTGATAGATCTTGGGTATTTAGGAAAGGGGAAGGTGGCCAATAATTTGCAGATGAAATCAGTGATGTTTTCTCTTACAATCACATTATACAGCCCCCATTGTTCTGTTCCACAGCCCACTTTGTGTGCATATTCCCACTTGGTAAAGCCAGGAGTTGTATTTTGTGCAGACCCTTCAGCACTACAGGCTCAAGTTCAGAGGGCCTTGGAATGACCTCAGGTACAGGCAGAGGAACTTCAAGTGAAAACCTCCATTTTAATTCCACACTGATTTGCCCATAAGTTTTCAGTCCCTGTTTGCCAGCGAAGTCATGGTTAAAAAAGGCAAGAAGAATCAACTCAAGCCCTGAACAGAGTCTGATCCACACAGGGAGGTTCACAAGGAGGACCAAAGTCCTGGAGAGGCAGATACCAGAGTATCGACTTTGCCTGGTCACCGACAATTGACAGCCAAATCTATCCACAACCATGAGTCAATGCTAAAGTCCCAAGGAATGCACTGGAAGGGTTTTATTGGGAGCTACTCAGAGGCTTTTAGTCCCTAGGTGAGGTAAACCATCCACCCCCCCCCAAAGTGCAGGACAGTGACCTGGGTACTGAACCAAACCAGGATTCCCCAGACAGTGCCTGAAAAGAAAGGCAACATCACAGGCTCTGTAACCAAGACAAAGCTTCAAACCCAGAACTACAGCACAGCCACATCTCCACTGAGCAAGTCTGTTTTCACACCTTGTGCAAACAGCTGCACAGGCTGGAGTGACTGTTCAGCTGGAGGCAGAAGGGGCAGATGGACCAGGCAAGTGTCCCACCTTAAACCAGAACTTCCCCAGCCCCTTACCACAGACATTCCTTCAGCAGGGGAGATTAAAAGTGCCATCACTTAGTAGTTGAACATAACCTGCTTTTTCAAGCAGGATTTTGTTTAAAAAAAAAAAAAAATTAAGAAATTGCTTGTGCAAAAAAGGCATCTCTGGTCAGGACACTCCTGTAATGCTTTCAGATATTCTATTAGTGCTGTAATGCAGAATATCCACTCTAACAGCTACAGAAGTCAAAGTGCAAACACCAGGTTTGAGTCCTGAGAAACACAAGTCCCCTCATTTCTGCATTTCCACAGGGAGAAAAGGATTTGTGCCAAGTTCTGTGTAAACGCTCTAACTCAAGCTGCTCATGGTTAGCTTCTTTATTGTTTGCAAGTTATCACTTCTCAGTGATAAAAACTTCGAAGGAGCATGACAGAAAAAAATTCAGCATTCTCCTCTTTAAATATGCCAGGCTATTTTCAAGCATTCCAACATACACTTGTTTTTTTACAATTCTTAATTTGCGCTATTTTAATTTCTTTTTATATCTGTCTCAGCCTCAAATAACTTTATCCTTAAGCAGTTTGAAACGTTTTTCATGTACTTACCCCCAAAGAAAGACAGCTCTTACCCTGACTAATACCTAGGACTGTGCAAGGATTAAGATTGTTGGTGCCAGCTCTTAATTAATTTAAAAAAACCTCTAAACTGCATGAAAGGGACGGTCATTAAACATCTTCAGTTAAAGAAGTTTGTTGCCTTAATAAAGCAGATGACCATATTACTGCTTTTAAAGCAGGTGGCCTCAGTCCCTGCTTGGGAAAAGGTTCTTTTCCTTCCATGGCAGCAATTCTGACCCACAGCTCAAACAGCTCTGCCTGCAGAAATCCTCTGAGGTAACACAATGGCCATCAGTTCACCCACTTTCTCCATGAGAGGTATCTGGAGTTACCAGAGGCAAGATAAAAATGGGCTTTTCCATCCACATTATTTGTGCTAAACTAAACATTGGGGCTGGTCACCAGACAAAAAAGGAAGTCTCGGGAAAGTTTTGCACTGGGACATGAAAAACATCCTCCTTGGCTGCTTTACCAGGGACAGCCAAGAGCTGCTGCTCATTAAAACATGCCAACGAGGCAGCAGTTTGTTTGGCTTTGTTTTTATTCCCTGGATATGGTCAGTGCTGCTCATCAGAAGAGTCCCCTGAAGTCCCACCTGCCTCTTGCCTATCTGCTCACTAGCTGAGACTCAGACACTGGTGAAATCCACGCACCAAAATCCCAAATAACAGTGATGCAAAGGTGGCAAGAGAGGAACACACACACACACACACAGAGCTCAGTGCCACGGGGCTGGTGCCAGGCAGGGACAGAGCAGAGAACACAGCACACCTGCTCCCTGTGTCCATCAGTCCCTCCCTGCAGCCTCAACAGGGGCTTTGCCAGAGCCTCCCTAAAGCAAAGGATACAATTCCTTCCTCCAGGCAGGGAGAGGGGAACAAGCTTTAGGGACAGGTTCTCTCCAGAGCCCTGCTGAAGAGCTGCCCTACAGGTCCCAGAGTAGCCAGACACCTCTAAAGAACTGCAACACTCCACATTATTTTTCCAACATTTTTTCTCTGAGATTTCCTGCTTAGAGAAATATATCCAGTACTTGTTAAACATAAATGAGTACATCATCACCTTTCCATCAAGCCCATGCCTAAGTAAGTGCCACTTACTTGTTGCTAGTATATATTACACTCTGTGGTTTAGTATTTCTGCCAGTATTTTCTGCATTTCTGATTGTTTAATATAACACATTATATAACAGACATTTTTCTACCCAGAGGAAAAAAAAAATAAATTGTTCCTCTCAGTGCAGAAGCAGTTCCAGGTAGAGCCCTTTGCAGAGCAAGCAGCAGCTGACAGCCAAAGCAGCACACACCTGGACAGCTGCCAAGCACCAACATGCTTGGAACACAACCCTGGGTCTGCTTAAAAATTAGACATGCAGTTCCTTTAATCCCAGTCCTGAACCTGGGATTAAATCCAAGACCTCATTTGGGAGGTGAGGAAGACTAAAGGGCCATAATCCAACAGAGTTAAGTCCAGAAGACACTTTAAGGTCCCCTGGCTCCCCTCACACACGAGGTGCCACCCAACACCCCGTCCCTTTAGCCCCGACTGAAGCACAACTGAGTTACCATCGCCGTAAACCTGAGCCAGCACAGAACCACGAGCCGGCCCTCCAGTTTCAGGGTTTACTTTCCATCAAGCTGATGTTCCCACACTCACTAAAATTGGCTTTACAGAAGCCAGGAGACCTTCAGCAGTCCCAGAGCAAAGCAGCAGCAGTGACGAAGCAGAAGGAGCCCCGTGGCTCCAGGGAGCAGCTATGCCCGGCATCCCAACTTGTCAGCCTGACTCTGCCCCAGCCAGCCACTGCCCAGGAACACTGCAGGGGATTGTTCCTGGGGAACAATCCTGGGGGACTGCAGGGGATTACAGCACAAAGCTTTCAAAAATCCAAGTTTCTACGTTATTTTTAACAGCAGCCTCTTCAGTAAGTTACTCAGTGGTGGAGTTTTGTGCAGCCCATGGATTGAGTGCAACACAAAAGCAGAGACTGAAGAGCCCAAGGCCTGGCTTAGGTTGCTGGAGACATCACCTGGCTGGCTCAACCAGCTCTCACAATGAGCAGGCCACGGCAGCACTCCACATCTACTGTACATAAGGCTTGGGTTTGTCTTGGTTGCTTTTTGTGAGGCTCAACGCTAGTCCAGGAGCTTCTAACAAGTGTTCAGACTGAAAAACCTCTTCCCAGACTCTTCCTGTCTGAATCCTAAACTATGACTTTCACACAGTTCTACTTCACTGAGGTTGGTTATGACTTCCAAGACTCTGCTGCCTGCAGACCTGGCCGTGATTCCCTGATTCTGGAGCACTGGGGCTGAGATGACACAGTAACATGATCTCCCTGTACAGATGTATTCCCCAAGCTCTCCCTATTACCTGCTTTCATCGTGTTCTGTCTTGCTCCACAAGCTCATCCAAGAAGTTCAGACAAAACACAGCATAAAATATGCACACACTCCTGATAGCCACTGTGGGAGTGACAAATACAACAGCAATTAAGACAGAGCAGCTTCAGTCTCAGAAGGACATAGAAATCATTCTGGAGGCAGACAAACAGTAAAGACAAACCTGCTGTAAGAGGAGATTCCACCAACCAGTTCAGTAGCAGCTTTATATCTGACTTTTAACTCCAGCCTGGCACCTCATTTCCAGTGCTCCATGTGTCACCCCCTCTTAATAAGGGCAGCATTTCAGACTTCCACAAACCAAATTCTCCTCTCAGCTCAGAGGGTTTGTAGGGAGGGCTGCACAATTAGCAT